AGGAACAGAAAACAAACCCATTGACTTCCAGCGCCCAATATCGGAATATTTTTGTCCAATCAAGAATAGTGCGCGCGACCAGCTCACGATCTATTGAACAGATATAAAAGATAATAGGGAACTAAAGTAACGATAAAAGTAACGGCTGAATTCGTTACCGTTACTGTAAAAATGCAACGACGTTACCGTTACCGTTACAGACATAAAAAAGTAACGATCGTTACCGAAAAAAAGTAACGAAAATTGTAACGGCGTTACAAGTAACGCGTTACTTCCCAACCCTGCTTATCTGTAGTGGTAGCTGCCTTGTAAAATTCGTGAATCCGATTGGCGTATTCTCTTAATCTTGAGCGAATTTAAGAGCCTACGCCCAGAGGGTCAATTCTCTAGTGAAAATGCTAAAAATGGGTAGCTCTATCCTAGTATAACTGGTAGGTCCACTCTGTCGGCGCCAAGGGGGAAACCGCTGGCCAAAATCTTGTACACCAATGCCTACTGGGCGTCGCTTTATCTTGTTATCGGATTTTATCTTATTATACCTTTATAATGCCCCAGCAAGGTCTAATGTCCAAGCTAACGCTTGGACGGAGTGGACCTACTAGTTATACTATGATGTAAACTAGGCTAAAGCCGTTCACTTTTAGCATTTTTACTATATCGTAAGATGCAGAATTGACCCCCAGATTCATGAATTTCACAACAGTTGCAGAGCAGCTTTTTCTGCTGAATACAGCCAACGACTCCGAAGTTGTCTCAACTGATTGACCGGTGTATCCCAAGAGGTTTTATATTAAAAAAAAAAAAAAAAGAGGGAGATGGCACGTGCTTATCGTGAGCGAAAAGTTGAGTGTACATTAAAACTATATTGAAAGATAAAAAAATATAACAATGTTAAGCTAACAAATATTTAGACGTACTGTGTTCGAAGAAAAATGCGCAAGTTTAGAGAACATTTACAAAGGGTTTATTGTATGCGTAAAGAAGTGTTAAAAATAGATCATTTTCTATATCCTTTGGAAACAGATTTATGGACTCGCGATAGACTCAAGTTATCTCTTTCACTTCATTTAAAATAAATCTTTTAACCCGGAAAATGCAGGGAAATTCACGACATAATTCTTGCGTAATGAAAAATTATTGGACGTATTTACGACAGATCTGTCTTTAAATAATATCGACCTATTCTCAACGCTGCCCTTTGCGTTACTGAATATAATATTGAACACCGGGCAAACAATGAGAATGGAAAATGAAATAAATAAAATATGAAACAGTACGATGTATCACACGCCTCAAATCTAAATATAAATCTACGCTATTATTAAGTTTGAGCAATTATCACTGTCGAAACTTAACAAAAAATTCATCCATTTCTCTTCTTCCAACGTCGGTGTTACTTGATGAAGTATTAATATTGTGAATTTTTGCCGAGGCAATTACGCATTTCACTCGTTCTTCGTGCTCGAGGATACGCGTAATGAAAACGGATTCACGGCGACGGGATTAAAACAGACTTCTCATTTTGTCACAGCCACGGTTCGCCGTCAGACGCTCGGTTTGCAAGGGACGTTTCCTCGGTGTTAGATTCAATCCTTCGTAGTCTGTGCTCGGGCTGCGCGACATGTGCTCTGAAGATGTACACGTTAGTTTTAACCTTCTCGTGCCAGCAATATGGGATTTTAAACTTGTCGGAATATCAAAGAGCTCGCGGCAAACCTTTGGAACCCTTCGAATGCAATTTCGAATGGCGCAGCAGTCGAGAGTAACAGGGCGAAAACAGCTTTCCTTTGAACAAGATTTGCTCACACTTGGTAGAGTGTGCGCGAGGAGACAGCCAGCCGCTCATGCTGCTCCAAGAGCTGCTGAAGTCCAACAAAGCTGCGGGTAGCTCGCGCAACGGGCGACACTCGCGTTTGTGCCTCCTAAATAAATGTTTGTGCTTGCCTAAAAATTAACACATTCCTGTGACGTTCGGTTTTAACTTCGAAACGGGGCGACCTTAACGAGCAATACCTTCCACCGGCGACGAACACAATCTCTCATAAAACAGATGGTCGCTCGTGCTCTGTTCGAGATTGAAACTGATCCTCGGAGACTGCAATAGAATGTAGTTTGCGATTGACGCATTGACCGCGTCGAAATCGACGCGAGCGATTTTTATTCCCGGGGACACCGCACGTTGCTTATTCCTGTATATACCGCGGATTCTCACGTTCAACGTGTCGAACAGAATTCGCAGAGATTTCATCTTTATGCAGGAATTCTGAACGAGCGGCAGACACGGCGACAGATCGGAGAGATCGGCGATGCTCTCGTGATACATTTGCACGAATGTCAAGTGCAGCAGCGACAGCAAAGCGGAGAAGACGATGGCGCCGTTCGTATGTAAATTGCGGGTCGTGTGCTTAAATTGAAAAAGAGAAGGAAATGATGGTCCGCGCGCGAAATTTTTACTCGATTACCTTACCTGAGATCGCGTATATAACAAATAACGATCGCGGCAAATTTCAGGAAATTCGTCCGCGTCAAACGTCCTAAAGTTTAAGAGCCTCAGGACAAGTTTGCACAAACGATCGCAGGATTCCTCTAATTCGTTCAATTCTTTGTTCCTTCTATGTATATACTGGACTTTCTTGAAAATGTTCTTCTTCCATACTGCAACGCGAGAAGGAACATCGTGAAAAATCAATGAATAATTATGTCGCCACGAGAGAAATATTTATCGTACACTAACAGCCTATGATACTAGAATCCTCGACATTCGTCAGTCGTTTTTTAATTAACGGATTAGCCGGCAAATCAGAGACCAGTCTTCTTATATTCTCCTTTCTGTCGAAAATCTCCGATTTATACGCACTCGATAGCTTTATCTCATCGCTAAAATACACAATGCGATTATATGTAAATCAATGTGTCACCATTGTACGAACGGAAGTGGCGATTTACTTGAGAAAATTATTTGCAGCATCTAGTATCTTCTCTGTCTCCTTACGAGTCCGCATCGCAACGCTGCACTTTTGCGCGATTACCTTATCGAGGTACATTATCGTTAAACCCTGCACTGGACTTGTACTTGGCGCGTTCAACAATTCTCCTTGAACTGAAGAAATCAACTCGGATAAGTATTTACGCGAATTGGCATGAAAGTACAATACCTTGCCTAACGGAAATACATTACTGTAAGCATGAGATTGATGAAAAGTAGATTGAAAGATTACCGAATGTATCTCAAAGTGAATCGTAATTTTAATATTTAATGCAACACTGCGAGATATAAGAAAGGCTAAAGTATATCGCTGAAAAAGGACAAAAACTTTCGAAATACGTTTTAGATGTTATACAATTTAGTGAAAAATATGTCACTTTTTAATGAAAACTTTTTGAAATAATTTTCTACTGAAATGACAATGAAACTAACGAAAATTGTCGCATATAGCCCAGTAGAATTTCATAATATTTTCAGTGAAATGTCACCAGGGTCTCTCTCTACGTTCGGTGCACTACGTACGTTCCTCTTTGACGTAAGCTCCGAGCGCGAATTGCGACAGCTTCCACATGATAATCTGAAACTTGGTCCCTCCCGCCAGTATCAAGTGGGACAGCAGTATCGGGGGGAAATTGAGATCGGGATTGTCTTGCGACAGGAGGCGCAGGAAGCTTTTCATCTCGACGCGGTACGTCACTTCGTCCCTCTTGGACAAGATCGGCCACCTGACCACTTGTTTAAACAGTTTTGCGTCACACACCGTCGACAGGTAATGCGTCACGTGTAGAAAACCCGCCGTGTTAGGTTTGTCGAACATACCCTTTTACCAAAGAAAGCTCGGATTAGAGATTCTTAGGGCCAGTTTCACAAACGTCGTTTTACCGCTAACCCATGGTTGATTGATCCTCCGTCTCTTCTTGGATAACAAGTTAGAGAAAGATAGGAAGTCGACTGAACTCTGGTTAACAGTTAACCGACGTTTGTGAAACTGGACCTTAATATAACTCGCTCGCATACACGTATGAAAGTTTTCGTACCTTTTTAAAGTGCCGCTGAAACTCGACGGACGGCGTCACGACTTGCGTAAGCAACGACACATTCTTGTAAAACGACGCGCCGACGGCTGTAATTAGAGTTTCTTGCGGTCTACTCATCGCGTACACGTGAACTCAATTAGCCTGCTCCGTCCGTGGCAATTACCTGCGCCGTGACGCATGTTTAATCTGCATGAATACATGGTTGTTTAAAAGACTTTGTTATCTAATGTTTGTATACAGACGCGGTCGTTTAGTCTTACGTGAGAGACCTGCTCCTCCTAGCTCGGCTCCTCGCGCTCTCCGCATCTCTCGTATTTTCCCTCTCACAGCCCCGACGCCCAATTACACCATAGAAGCCATAGAATAAGATTATACGCCTGTTGGGGAGGGGGGGGGGGGCGACATAACTTTTCTCTCATTGGTCTGCCCAGAGCAATGTCGGAATGCGCGGAAGGGTCGAAACAAATTCTATATACTATGGTAGTATACGGGGTGTCCCGTATTTTAACTTGGACAGTAAAATATCTCAGAAACTAAGCCCGGCAAACAAAAATGTTTCAGACAAGAGTTGTATGGTTTCGAGGGGGACATAAGATGGCACCATTGGCTTGACCTTGAAGAGTTGTTTGAAGGCCACGCGAAGGTCACCTTCAATTTTTTAACGGCACCCCCTATTGTTTGTTATACCATCTTAGTCTACAAATTAATGCGAACCACTTTTGTCTGAAACATTTTTTGATTTACCTAATACTTCTCGAGATATTCAAGATAAAATTTATAACTTTTTCAATGTTTAGGTTGTGATATCTCGATAACTGTTTGTCGGAGGGAAAAGTGGTGCGGAACTTTTTTTACTTGATTTGGTCTGAGGAATATGCTGTCGCAATAGTGTTCCAATTATTCAACATTTTTGTGTATTAACATACACCAAATTTATATGAGACACCCCGTATAGAAGGTTTCGGCGCACGGCGACGGTGGCGACATCTCGCGCCAGCGGCGTCGACGGGGGCGAGATTTGACAGCCGCATGGACGACGCGGAAACGTCAAAGCCGAGATGTAGAGATCCCGAGGAGCAATAAGAAGATTAAGAACATGATTGATGAGAAGGGTGAAGCGCACAACCGGAGGTAACGTATCCAAACGGATTCGGATAACGGATCGAGGTTACCTAATCTTTGGGAAGAGAGGCTCTCGGGGGCCGGGAAACGTCGCGGAGCGTTGACGGTTTTGTCGAACGGCGGAGAGATGTTTATAGTGACGAAGGAGATCGACAGCGAGAACATCAGCAAATTGTGCCGGACGTGCCTGCGTGAGGACGGCGACAAGATGGTGTGCCTGTTCGTGGGACCGGCCGGCTCCTCGCTCGCCGCCAAGCTGCGATCTCTCTCCTGTCTGGAAGTGAGCGGCGCTTACTTCTTACCCCCCGGGTTTCGGCGTGGCTTACCAGAGAGATTGAGACCCTGTGTTTTACTCGTAGGTCTGGCAGGGAGACGGCCTGCCCGAAAAGATGTGCGACCGTTGCGTCACGAGGGCGGAGTCGGCACTTTTGTATCGCGAGCAGTGTCGCGCCGCGGACAGAGCCCTGAGGCAGGCGGCGTTGAAGGTAAGGCTCTTACCCCGGTTTTTACCAACGTCGTAACATATTTTGTGTTATTCTAAAGGGATTTTACGCCTCGGCTGTAGCATACGTGCCGCTTGAATGAAGAATATGTTGAAATACAGGTGTCCAGGCTGACGTCGTACACCACCGTCTCCGGGTGCAAGCTCTATCAGAATCAGCAGAGTCAGGGATTCGTGCCCGTGCAGAATTCTCACAAGACGCTCAAGTGCGTGGAGTGCGGCGCGGTGTTTATGAGCTACCAGGAGCTCTGCGCGCATAATCGACTACACCTGCCCTTTATTCAGGACAACATACCCATGCAACATATGCACATCGTGGAGTCGCAGAATCCGTATCTCAATTTCACTCACGTCAGCTCGAACTTCGCCAACAACAGTGTCCCGAGCGCGCAGCTGTCTCCGCTAGTCAGACCAAGTGTGATGCATACTATGTCGCTGAACGAAGAGAATTCGAGTCGCGCCGCCTGTGCCTTACACTGCTCTCTGTGCAATCACACCTTTACCAATAGGAGGCAGTTGATAAGTCACAATATAACGCACAACAGCACAGAGAGCGTCGATATGTCGTGCGACAATGAAAACATCGAGATCTGCGAGAATTCCAATCATATCCCACAAAATCTCAGCTACGAGAGGTCGATCCACTCCGTCGACAATCCCATTCAGAACTTGTCGTACCAGAGATCCACCGTGGACGACGCCGACGGGATGCAGAACATAAACTTCCCGGAAAACATTGATCTCGATGGCGTCCAGGAGAACAGCTCGGAACGCATGCAGAACGTAACGATACATTCCGAGAACGACGTGTCGATTGCCGAGAACTTGAGGTTCATAAAGTCGCCTGGGAGAGACAGGCAGCTCGCGATTGAATACCACGGTTGTCCAGGCGACGACAATTACAAGCAGCCTCTCGACGTAAAAGCCGCGGAAGATGTCCACTCTAAGAAGCATCGGTGCGAGATATGCTCGAGGCAATTTTTGCAAAAGTCCAAATTATTCGCTCATCAATTGTCACACTCCGGCCAGCAACCGTTCAAATGCCTGAGCTGCGGCAAAAGTTACGCATCCAAGAGCAAACTCAGCGCGCATATGAGATTGCACACCAAAACCAACGTGCATCAATGTAAAGTGTGCGACAAGATATTTTCGTACCCGTCGTACCTGGAGGAGCACGTAAAGGTCCACAACAAGAGCGACAATACACCTCGGAGCAAGGACTACGAATGCAGCACTTGCAGCAAGCGTTTTCGGCTTTTGAAAAATTTGAAAGCTCACGAGAGACTTCATACCGGAAGGGGTTTGGTGCAATGCGAAATTTGTGATAAGAAATTTAGCCATAATTATAATCTCAAGATGCACCTGCGAACGCACAAGACGTCGAGGGTGCACAAGTGCGAGTACTGCGACAAGCGCTTCGTACAGAAGGGCAATCTGGTCGAGCATTTGCGAATTCACACTAAAGTGAAGCCTTTCGCGTGTAAATTGTGCGGCAAGAGATTCGCGCAGTCGAGTCACCTTAAAAGCCACGAGATCTCGCACGGCACAGTGCGGCAACACCAGTGCCGACTGTGCGGAAAGAGATTCAAGCTGGCCAATCATTTGAAACGGCATTTAAATTTACATACCGGTTCGAAGACTTATAAGTGCAATCAGTGTAACCAAATGTTTTCGCAGTCTTTTAGTCTGACGAGACACTTGAAGAAGCATAGTGAATTACACATATAATTTATGTATAATAAACTGTAATTTATGTACATATCAATGCGAATGGCAATTGCGAATATATGTTTTATAATTATTAGATTATTCTTCGCGCGTGATTGTAATTGTTATGTTTTTCAGTCTCTCGTAACTATTGTCTTTCAAAAAAATCTAAAGTCTCGTCTACAATTTGCTCTTTGCGACTCAAAATTTTGTATAAGCAAATTGATACGCTTAAAAAATTTGTCGACATTGTACAGTGCGTAATGTACAACTTGCACGAATTTTTTAATCGTATCTATTGACTACGAAATAGCACGTTTCTAGACGCAAAGGACATATTGTAATTTTAAGCGCATTTTTTTGCAACGACTACAGTAACACGACAGCAAAAAGCAATCTTGTTGTATGAAATATGTTTATTGTACAATCTTGGAGGAAATTTTCAATTCTCTATTTGTAACTTTTGAGAACCGTAGTGAGAATATTTATTCCCTCTCGTAATTGTTCTTCCGTAATCGTTAACGGGGGCGATATTCTGATGATTTGACCATGCGCCGGTCTCGACAACAGTCCGGCGTCTCTCAGCTTTAGACAGATGTCCCAACCCTCGGCGAACTCTGCAAGTAAAAGCCACCTTGAGCGTATCGTGATAAATTCAATACATTCTTGTTGGAATAATATTATCGAACGTTACGCGACACATCGTCATATCGATGCGGGATAAAGTCGTAGTTTGCAAAATATGCTTTTAATTTTACGTGCAACAACAAGTATTTTATCTTCACTCGTATCGCGCAACGGGTTTTTAACTTGGCGGCGATTTATCAGCGAATGTGGCTGACACATTAATTCTTGTTCATAAGCTGCTGATACCTTTGTTTATCACGAGACCGGCCAGAAGCCCGCGTCCACGGAACTCTGTGGCGATGTCCCTCGGCAACTTATTCAGTTCTTCTTTCAGAATTTTCCCGAGCCTCTTCGCGTTCTCGGCCAGATTTTCCTCCTCCAGAATTTTAACCGCCTCCAAAGCAACCCGGTTGCCAAGCGGACTCCCGCCGAAGGTGCTTCCGTGCGAACCTGTCTCCAGGCCGAGCATTATCTGGAGACAAACGATCAGCCTGAATTAAAGACCCTTATCGTGCCAAACAGGCGATTAATATCGCTTCCTTTCCAAGTACGTAAGAGACAGATATCGCGTTTCCGCCTACGTGAAACTGCAATGATAATTTAACGCAAGAAACTTTTACAAGTGACAATGGTTGTTAAAATATTTTACAAAATCGTATAAATTGAATTTATGCCAACTATTGTTAAATTAAGGCACGCACAAAATAGAGCTAATATCGAATTGCTGAATAATATTACGATGATCGCGGTGAAACTTTTTCGGATACCTGATCGTCCGCCAGGACACCGGAGACTGGATACATGCCACCGGAGAGTGCTTTTCCTAAAATGAGAATATCCGGCCTGCAGCCTTCGTGGTCGATTGCCAAACGCGTGCCAGTTCTGCAAAGACCAGTCTGCACTTCGTCGGCAATCCACAAAACATTGTACTTGGTACACAGTTCTCTCACACGTTTCAGATAACCGTCCTGAGCGAAGAAAATCAAAGAATGTCTATTAAAATTACCAAAAGATTAACGTTAAAGGTTCAGTGATATTGCAATGTCAACAGGAAGGATGATTCTAATTTTCTGCAGTAAAAATAATTTCTGAATTTGCATCAATACAATGCCGTGTATTTTCGCGTTAACTCACTGTCGGCACAATGACGCCAGCTTCTCCCTGAATGGGTTCCATCATGAACGCGCAGATGTTGGGGTTCTCCTGAAACTTTTGTTCCAGAGCCACTGGGTCGTTGTACGGCACCTTCTCGAAAAGAGGCACGTAAGGGCCAAAATCCGTGTAGCAATTTGCATCCGTCGAAGCTGACACGGCAGCTAACGAACGGCCCCAGAAGTTCCCGTTGGCGAACACAACGGCAGCTTTGTCATTCGGTACTTTTTTAATTCTATATCCCCAGCGCCTGGCCAATTTTACGGCCGTGTCACCACCTTCGACACCTACGATAAGAAAGGAATGAACGCCCCGACTCTTTTGTCTTCTGCAACACAGAAGCTTGTACTTATCACAAACAGTATTAGGCTGATGGCAGAGAATAATCTGTAAACGCTTAAGTCGCAGTATGTAATAAGTGAAAATTGTATACGACTTACGTTTTTCTCTGCCTTGCCTTACGTTTACGACTAATGTCCACTTCTGTCAATGCAGATTAACTTTAATCGCGGTTTAACTTATTTTTTTATCTTTCTCCGATTGCTAGAACTAGAAACAGACAAGAAGTAAGTTAATAAAGTTAGTCTACATTGGTAGAAACAGACGTAGGACTTAAGCGTTTACGGATGATTCTCTGCCATCAGCCTTAAACTCTTTCCGACAATTACCAAGATACTAAAACTAATTCTTTTCTGAAGCGAGTTCACACCTGTGTTCATAGGTAAAAACCGATCCCATCCCAGGAGTTTTGTCAGATATTCTCCCAGCTCGCCGTGAGGCTCCGTGTAGAAGGCCCTTGACGTGTGCGCCAGCTTCCCAGCCTGATCCCTCATTACTTTCACCAGACGTGGGTGACAGTGGCCCTGGTTGACGGTCGAGAATCCTGCCAGGAAATCGAGGTACCGTTTTCCATCGATGTCCCACAGGTAGACCCCCTCGCCGCGAGAGAGAACAACCGGTAGCGGTTTGAAGTGTATACCGCCGTACTTGTTGTCGCGGTCGATCACTTGCTGGGAACTCAGGAACCTTCTCTTGTCCGTTTCTCTTACGATGCTGAAGAATCTCTGTCTCACGGATTGCAAAGCCATGTTTTTCTCCTCACCCTGCAATATAGTTGGAACGTTGTAACGTTGCCGCAATGTTCGCTGGAATGTGTCGCTTTTACGAACCTTCTCTTCGTTAAGCACAAGTAAAGCTTACCAGAAAGAGCGCAAGGCGTCAGAAAATAAGCCTCTGCTGGCGAGTTCTACAATCTCGCTTTTATATCAAGGTAAAAGAAGATATGACAAAAGATACGGTAGATTACTTATTTACTGGAATCGTGTAAGCATTGCGACAGAGGCTATTTAGAGGATATACCTTTATACCTGGAATCATATCTGATAAAAAGCACTAATAAAGGCGCCAGCTTGCCGAAGTAAACAAATCGCGATAAACAATACAATCTAAAGCGGTTTTATATTAACAGTATATCGAAGAAAGAACAACGGAAAATTACACTTGTTCTGCATTTGACTTGAATTTAATGCCGCATTGTTCTTCAAAAGAAGACAGGTGCCGTATAAATAAGACTTGAATTTTAACTCTTTCGTTGATATAACTTTCAGGTTTTTTTTAACTAGACTTATTACTTAAAAATTTAGTATTTACTGATTACAAGCCATGTCTATATGTTTTTCGGTGTATTATCTCTCGTGTCGTTGCATTAGGCATACATTATTATTTGCGTAGAGAATGTTATCGGACGAAGCTATTAATAACCCGAAATGAATAACTCATTTGCCACGTTAATTACAGTTATGCTAGAGACAATAATACGACCACATTCCAAGTGAATTATTCGAACTCTCTTAACAAAATAGGAATCGTAAATGATGATAATTGTGTTTGTTTGCAGCGTTTCGCTGTTTTATGAAGAAATATCTACAATTCGATATACGTCAATGCACTCGTGACCGATTCAACCTCTTGCCTCGTGTGCATTATTCGATAAAATTCCGATCTGTCGCAAATGATCAACTTTTTTTGACATAGCATATGTATAGCGATATGGATTAACTTTACTGCACGAATATTATCAAGATAAAAATCACGATGGACAATTATTCGAACTCTCTTAACAAAATAGGAATTGTAAATGACGATAATTGTGTTTGTTTGCAACGTTTCGCTGTTTTATGAAGAAATATCTACAATTCGATATACGTCAATGCACTCGTGAACATGACAACGACACGCACATTTTTAAATAAAATTATATACAGTGAGTAGATTAGAAAATGATGTGGGTATAGAACATCAATCATTATGCATTTCTTCAAGGTAATCATTATTCGCATTTTTATTCGAAAAGTACTTATTTTTATGGTGTGTAGCATTTATTATCAGCATTGATCGAGATATCGCCTCTACTTTCCATTTCCTAGATGACGAACCAATAGTTAGTTTTATATCATTTGATACATAATTTGAAATAAATCGTAATTTCGAGTCGGATATGTCGCAACTTTCAATATTTATTTTATCATTTAAGAAGAAATGGTCTTCTTCTATATGAAAAATCTTGCTTAGCTTTTGCTCGCGCAAGAATGTACCGCACGATCGATTAATAACAATATTAGAGGTGACATACGACGGGTGTGCGTTAGTTATACGCGAGAATAGTCTTGGAAATGATATCCGCGCACTCGCGTATCTGTTCCTCCGTGATAACTAACGGCGGCGCCAGACGAATGATGTGTCCGTGCGTCGGTTTCGCCAGTAGCCCGCGTTCCTTCAGTTTCAAGCAGATATCCATGGCGTCGAACTTTTGATTAATGACGATGGCGTTCAAGAGGCCTTTTCCCCTCACCAAAGTGACCATTTCCTTCGGTAGCTTGCCAAGCTCGTCTCTAAACACACGGCCGAGCCTCGCCGCGTTCTCGGCGAGTTTCTCCTCTTCCAGGACTCGAAGAGCTTCGAGGGCGATCCTGCATCCAAGGGGATTACCACCGTAAGTAGACCCATGCTCGCCAGGCTTGATCGTGAGCATAACGGGGTCGTTTGCCAGTACACCGGAAACAGGATAGAATCCTCCGGACAGGGCTTTACCGAGAATCAAAATATCCGGCTTGACGTTCTCGTAATCCACCGCGAGCCTCTTCCCCGTTCTCGCCAGGCCGGTCTGCACCTCGTCCGCGATCCACAAGACATTGTTCTTCGTGCACAGCTCTCGAATTCCTCTCAGATATCCGTCCTTTTTCGAGGTACAAAGAGAATTTTAGAGATCTAGGGCGAGGGTGGCTCTCTTCATGCTTAAGCGTTCGCACGTGAAAGCTTACCTTGGGTACTACAACGCCAGCTTCACCTTGGATAGGTTCCACCATGAAGGCGCAGATATTTGGATCGGCGAGAGCCCGTTCGAGCGCCGGGAGGTCGTCGTAGGGCACAAGCTCGAAGCCCGGCATAAACGGTCCGAAGCCGCTGTAACTGCTGGGATCGGTGCTCGAGGAGACAGCGCTCAGAGTCCTTCCCCAGAAGTTGCCTTCCGCAAACACTATCTTGGCCTGATTGTGCGGTATGCCCTTGCACGAGTATCCCCATCTGCGTGCCAATTTGCATGCCGTTTCGCCACCTTCCACGCCTGTGTTCATCGGCAACCATTTGTCATAGCTGAAGGAATCAAATTGAAAACAAAAAATTATCTTACAATTTTTTCAAGATTATCCGAATCTGGATCTCTGTTTGTAATCTAATTATCACAGTTCGCGCAACTTTCGAAGGACTAAATATTAACTAGCTTTCCAAAAAATAACATTACACCATGTATATAGACTTATCTTCTACTTTCTCTTATTGATCTCTTATACTTTAGATCTCGTTGCGTAATCGTTTATCTTATCAACACGAGTTTGAAATTAAAAAATAACACTGTACCTGAAAAGTTTCGTGATATATTCTTCGAATTCACCCAAAATATCGGAATAAAATGCTCTGGACGTCAGAGTTAAATTTTTCGCCTGGTCGATCATCGCTTTGTATATTCTAGGATGGCAGTGTCCTTGATTGACTGCCGAGTAAGCGCTTAAAAAATCAAAGTATCGTTTCCCCTCGACGTCCCACATAAAGACACCTTCAGCCTTGCACAAAGCCACGGGGAGTGGATGATAATTGTGAGCACCATATTTAGATTCGCGATCGAATACTTGTTGAGATGTAAGTGTTCTGCATTGAACGCGCTGGAAAGGAAGAAACATTTAAATTAATCCTGATGGCATTCAAAATTGTTGGACAATATCGGCATTTGTAATATAACTAACATTGGATCAAGGTTTAGCCAATGCACTGTACTACTAGGGATTATATTACCTGAGACAACAATGCTCTCGCTGATCTTTCGGTATTTAGCAACACCGCTCTCGTTAATGGCTCCATCCTGTAGACCGTAGGAGTGCCCTTGTTACTTAAGACGGTGGTAAACTAAACACGAGCGAGAGACTTGATATTAGAACCGTGAGCTAAGTGGTCCACTGCAAATTCAAAATGTAGCCTTCGCGACAGCTGTTACTCTGCCAATAAAGTGAAAGTTGGTCAGAGAACACAGCTGTTCCATTTATCTGAAATATTAATTTCGATATATTTGCAGATTACAAAATTGTGTGTCGTTATCAGCGATTGGTGTGATTGCTCCTTTTCTCGTTAACCAAACTTAAAATTTATCTTAATTTTAAAATTAATTTGTGCATACACTAAAACATATAAATTATGTAGATATTGCAATTTTATAACCAAAACATCTTTTAGATTCCAGCATATTGAATTATTTATTGACCAACTTTTCCATAATCTCTTAATTCACTAAGTATCATAGTTATACAAAAGATTTCAATTAAATCGTATTTGCTTTTATTTTGTATATTAAAACCTCTTGTCGAAATAATTAATGATCCATCCACCGAAAATTAAATAAAGATTAGATTAGATTACAAGCATGTTTGAACACAAGCGTTACTGAAATATTTTACTCGCAACAAAATTTTCCCTAATACCGCTGACGAGTTAACGAACGTATAAATTCTACTTACTCTTACAAAGACCGTAATTCAATGTGCCCAGCAGTCACCGATCGGATATCGACGCAAGCGGACCCCAACGACTAGTCGGACTGGTAAACGGTTGAGTTCCTCGTGCTTAGTTCAAGTTTTATTTATCTCAATCGTTCGATTGAAGGATACTATCACGTGCCTCTCGCTACACCAACACGACACAAATCACATTGCTTCCCCCCTGATCTGGTGTCCTTGTCGCACGTATTATCGCTGATAATAATAGTAATAACTCTCATATCTACGTGCAAACGACACGATAGAAGTATACGGAAGACTACGAGTAAATTTAGATAGAAAAGATGGATAACGTTCGTGATTTGCAAGACATTCTGAATTTTTTAATTTCAAAATCGAGTGACGATTATTCTTTCAAAACATTTTCGAACGTATCTTTCAATGATTGAAGCGAAATTATCGTTACTACAGTTACAAATAAAATACTTACATTTCTAAATTGCAAATTTAATTTATTATAGGCCCAGGGTCAATTTCACGAAAGTATTAATGTCCACGTATCAAAGTTACTCTGAGTGACGTTGAAAATCAGGTTTCTATAGCGTTTAAATATGAGACACACTTGGAAAAAACTAGAAACAAACTTAATGTTGACAATAACTTAATCGTACAATATATACAATTAATATATAGAATATACCGCGCTTTTATCTTATGTGGTATAAAGTATTAACTGTGCTTTGTGAAATACATGTCAACTTGTTGAGTTGTCCCGCTCTGCTGCATCGATTCGATTGCTTTATTGACTATCACCTCTGACGTTTCTTCCGTTATCTAAAACACAATGTAAGATCTAAGAAAGCATGCCCATTGCGTTATATTACGGTGCGATGGTTTAGCCAGTAGTCTTACATTATTAATAGTATCTAACACGTGATCCGTGCTGTCGCATCTCAATAATAGGCGTCTCAAAGTGGTCAACGTAACAACGGCAACAAATATTAAAATTCGGTATGCCCCGACGGTGATTTTGTCCCATATCCTACAATAAAGAATTGAATGCTCTAGCGATTCTACAAGTACGGGAGGTTGCGATGCAGCTTTTATGACAACACGTTGCATGCATACTTGGCAATAGATCCATTACATATTATGCCAGCGAAACACGAATAAAACCACGCATCGTATGGCAAATTATAAAGGGCGTCAATTTTAACGAGATGCTTGTACAACTCTACGTCCTCCTTCTCCAACAGCGCGTATGTACAGTCTTGCAACTTTCCCACTTCCTTCTGCAGCCTCTCAACTTGCACAAAAAGCCCGGATAATATCCAATACATGTCCACCAGCTTCTCTTCCTCCGATTCAACGTCAATCACATGCCACAGCGTCTCGGCCATTTTGCTCATAGCTCTGGAATAATTCTGTTACAATACAACATTTTGGGCCGTCGCGCAAAGTGTCTGCGACTTTATAGAGCCAAGGCGTCCCTCGGGATTCACAGAGAAAAGCTAATCGAGACAAATTTCGGGTCTGGGTTAAAACTCATCAAAATTCCATTTGAATGTAAAAGTCTGATATCGGGTAATGCAGTGCACCTGTACAACGGCGACTCCAACTGAGCGGTCATGTCAACTTTAGCCCTTCTTCTGCGCAACAGCCACATCGCTAGGAACATGAGATGAGGCTTCGTCAAGTCGTCTATGACCTTGGTGACTCTCAGTGCTCTCTGCAAGTCCTGAAACTCCACCTTGCGCTGGGCCATTATGAACCCCTGGCTCTCCGGGTAAACCGGTATAACGTCGAGCAGGACCTTCCACAGGAAGTTCCTGTACATAGCGGGCATGGTGAATCTCAAGCAGAACTGCTTCAGCTTTGTCTTGTCAAGCGGGCGCTCCTTCAACAGTATCTCCAGCGACCTCTTTTCCTCGACGCTGCGAAAACCGACCTGCGACGTTTCAAAGAAATAGCGTTCTGAGGACCTCTGGTACATACGCGGGTACAGTTGTCGCTCCGATTTGCCCAAGGAGAAGAAAAAGTCAGGATGATGACAATTTCATGTCACATTGGCCAAATTTATGTCAAATTTTGGTCAACACGGCATCAAATTGACCAAAATTTGGTCAATATGACATCAAATTGACATCATCCTGACTTTTTCTTCACCTTGGGTGGAGAGCAAACCCAAGGAGAAGAAAAAGTCAGGATGGTGTCGGTTTGATGTCACATTGACCACATTTATGTCAAATTTTGGTCAATTTGATGCCATATTAAATTTGGTCAATATGACATCAAACTGACACCGTCCTGACTTTTTCTTCTCCTTGGGGAACGGCGTTTGGGTAGGCCTCACCTTCTCGTAATACTGCGAGCGGAAATTCCGCTCATCCGTCATTTTTCCCGTCTCGTCGAGGTCGAAATAAACGGAAGGGAATCGGACAATAGACAAGTGTCGCGGCCGAGCCGGAGAGGAAAGCGTTTCTTCAAACCGCAGCACCACTGCACATTCCGCGTCCACGTAGCGCCGACACGACCAGACACGACAGTGTGTCAGAACATAACCTGCAATACTGGCCGCACCGTGCGCGCGCGCGCGCGCGCAAGTCTCGGTCGGTTTCGCCGCTTTTACGGCTTCGACAGGCGAATTTACGCCACGTCGCGCTCGTTGAGACCGAGAGGACTCGCGCACGGTTAGTCCACGTGCGATCACGCCTGTCGCGTACTCGGCATCGGCGCGCTCTCGCGCGTCACCGCGTCGTATACGCATCCGTCCGTATAGTAGTCTATAGACGTTGCCCCAATTCATCTAACAAGCATCACGACTTGCCTCGCAGCTCATTACCATCGTTGATTGATGCGCAATAGCTCGGCAGGCTTTTATCTTGCAATCGGTACTTTTGCCACGACAATTGGCCAAGAGTAAGTGGAGTGGATACGTAAGACTACCTTTCGAACAGAATACTTTTCGCGTGTAGCAGAATGCAAAGATGTGTAACCTGCCGCTGTCTTTTTCTAGTCAGTATAATTATGTCCCAGGAAGGGAAGGATGTGGACGTGAACAAGGCCTTTGAGGACCTGCTGTTTGCGGAGGAAATCGCGCAGAAGTCGGCCTACGAGGAGGGCTATAAGAGCGGCAAGGAGCAGCTGCTGAAGGGATACCACCTTGGCTATCACAGGGCCAGCACCATCGCCGCGCAATTGGGATACTACAGCGGAGTGCTGGAGCACTATTTGCAGAGCGACGACGCCAAGTGCGAGAAGGCGCTGGCAATAGCCTGGAAGCTGTTGCAGGACATTCGCGGCACGCTTCCCGAGCACCAGGACGACAGTCTGGACATTCTCAAAGCCGTGGAGGACATCAAGTTCAAGTACGCCAAGTTCTGCTCGCTAGCCAAGATCAGTCCACTTTATCCGGAGACGGATAAACTTGAATTCTAATGCGACGACAATGACGGAGTACAACCGGCACTTTGAGAGGGCGTTGGACTTGATTGATGTCTATCGCAAGCTGATAGACTGCCACCTGGTTGACTTCATCACCGAAGGATTGTGGGACGAGTGCTTGCCGGAGGGACTCAGGGCGGAGCTCGAGAGCGTCGACGCGAGCGACGATATCTGGGCAGAGAACGGCGCGGACTCGGAATTGACTAGTTTCATACAATCGACGAGATCGCTCTCCTTAGAGTCGTGCCCGGCTGTCATGCGCGCGGACGACTTGCCAAAGCTGTTACCGCAGCCTTCCAAGGGGCGTTGTTCGATCGAGGGCGAACTTATTCGCCCCAAGTCCGAGCTCATGAATGCAAAGAAGTCGCACGAGATTGAAGTGCTTGGAAAAGTCATCGCCGAAATGGCACTTGCCACCAGCAGCTTGGTAATAGACGCCGGAGCTGGGAAAGCGTATCTGTCGACGTACTTGTCGGAACATTTCGATATTCCTGTATTGGCAATCGATTCGTCGCTAGTTTGCCACAAGGGTGCGACTAGTCGTCAGGAAAAGATTCAGAAGAGGAAACGGCCGCTGACGAAGGTTTACGAAAGTTATTCAATCGCCTTGCCTCGTTTATGACGTTTGTAAAAAATTCTCACGTTCTTGTCCTATGCCCCTTAGGTTCGATATATAGTTCAAGAGTTGGACGACACGACCAATTATAGTAAAATGGTGAATACGCATTGTCCCGATTGGAGCGTAAACAAGAATCTCATCTTAGCGGGACTACATACCTGTGGGATGCTCGTGCACTCGGTGATCAGAGCTTTCGTACGTGCGAGGGACATCAATTTGCTCCTTGTAGTTCCATGCTGTTATCACTTGGCGGATGAAACCCTGAGCGGACGCTGGAATTTCACCAGAAATGCCAGAATGTTGGCTCAGCAATCTGTCGAGAGGAGCAAACATAACAAGCATCTTTCTCCTTCGTTATTTTACAGAGCCGTGTTGCAAGTTATTTTACATTCAATGGGTCAGTACAATGCGAACGTAAATACATATTTGAACACTGACCTCGATCGTCGAGTGGGATCTTGTGCCTCGGCAATTACGTTTGCGTCTTTCAAGACTGCGTTTTAAGAGCGCTACACGATACTAGGCAAATTTACAAATTATTAGGCATAAGACACCACTCGAGATGCTCGAAAATTAATATTTGCTTATCCTATACAATAGATATCTGTCGATTGCTATTAACGATTTTTGAAATATATTTTGAATTTGTATTTTATATTAATTTATGTATATTGTTAATAGGACATTACAATGCTAAAGTGGGTCGTGGTGGATCATTTAATAATTTCGCGGATTACGCAAAGTGTGCGCTATCCAAACTCGGGGTGGATAAGAAGCAGGTACGTGTGTTGAATCTAGACTTGTCTGTTTTAATTTCTGCCAACAGAAATTTTATGAAACGTACGATATTTTAGATACCATCCGCTTACGTGTTGCAACAAATATATCAAAATCACATGCATTTCGAACCAAAGTTGCGTCTCTTCCAAATGTTGAGAATATATATGAGCTCAGTGGTGGAAGCGGCAATCATGTTAGATAGAGTAATGTTTTTACAAAACAATATCCAGTGTTCCAAAGTTGCTGTGATACGCTTGTTTGATCCAGCACTCTCTCCCAGATGTTATGGAATAATTGCAACGAAATAGTAAATATGTAAATAATATTAACAATGTTATGAAAAGAAGAGATTTTATCTGGTTATGAAACCATACTCTACTTTATTCGTATTTTAGAAAGTAAGTTTTGTCACTCTTGATATAAATATGAATAATTTACACATGAAATAACTAAACTGTTGCATGTAAAGGCAATTTTCAATAAATTTTTCTATAAAGTACTCGTTAATATTTAAATTCACACAACTGACCTATTCAAATACAGAATATTCCTTGTGTCAATATCCGGAATGTTCCTCGCTGTTCAATAATCGGAGTACTTGAAAACTCCTGCTGGATTTCGTCGAGTGCAGGAATAGATATTGACATAAGAGACACACTTCAATATTTTAATACATTGTTTCAACTAACGTAATTTTCGAATATTTTATACCGCATAAATGCGAGATTTTCAAGTGTTACCTTCATTTATCTTAAAAATAATCACTTTTTATTAATGCATTCATCGTACATTATACATATACAATTACTTGATTCGTAATAGAATCAAGACTTATATTCTATGTTTTATCCTTAATATTATAATCTTCCTGTTTGCTTTGTATATTTATAATACAATTGCGTATATTTACTTCAGTGTACGAGAGCGAGTTCGTAAGTAACTCTAAGGAAATACAAACAGAAACTATAGAACTGCAATTGCACTGTTTACACCTCACGATTTCTACTTTGTCCTGTAATACTTTACTGTAATACAGCTAGGTTCTAGAAAACGCACGTAATTTTAATACATTCGACAAAGATTATAAGCCATATCGACTGAAACCTTCAATATCTAGCAAACTGTTTTGTTTCAGACGTACATAAAAATAAGGAGTTAACATTAAATATGTATCAAATACATATTTGTTACCTTTATTTATAAAAAGATTCAGTATTAATATCATCCAATAATTGATGTAATTTGGAATTTTTCCAGAAGATAATCACAAACGTGTGCAAACTTACGAAATAATAATTGTTAAGGGAGGTTTTTAAATTTGCGAAAAGAGCACGTTGCATATTTTCTTCTTTTTTTTTTACTAAATTGCATTTGTCATTAATCACTCTTTGGTTTTCATCGACACTAATCGAGTTCATAATGACTAAAATCAATTCAGTAGAGTAACTAAAATTACTTGTCGTTTCCTACAAGTTAGTTTGAAATGGTTCTATTTTTCGTGTAAATATACTATTGATATTTTATAAAAACATACTAATAATAACACACGAATTAAAGATAAACCACATCATTTAAACAATCGAAAAATTTGATATATGCATTTATAATTTTATATAAATCAATAATGCCACTGCACGAAAACATATTCTTTTCCTAAAAGTTTTGATATTTTTATAAAATAGAAGCAAAATATATACAAGATTCTATTCTATTATAAAATGTTTCTTTTCGTTTTAACATCAATGTCTCCGATTATAACACACATAATTTAAGAGAACTATTGATTCTCAATTAATAATTAATATCTCATTTTACTCATAGTGTTAACGTCTACCATTGTCTTTGAATGACAAACTATCACTTTGTATAACTTCCTAGTATTGAGGCCTTTCTCGTTATGTTCATAGTTTCTACCTATTAAAATAAATAGTTTGTGCAGAAAGAAACGAGTCGCATGATTTATAAATAGCTAAATTATATGGTGTATGATGTACATTGTACAAGAATGATAAGTAATTATCATATCATACAAAAGGAAAATACGTTTCAAAGAATTTGCATCCTTTTCAATTGTCAATTAATGCTGCTTTTGTATGTAAAAATTATGCTTACAAGGAATGTGTAAAAGCTATTTCTAGTGCTACGAATGTACGGAGATGCAAAAATACGTTGCGCAATTTACATTAGCACTTGATATAAAAAGTGGTAACATAAATTAGAAACAAGAGAAAAGGATACGACATCAAAAGTAAAAGATCAAGGTATAAATCTAATAAATTACGGATTACAGTTTTCACCGATGTATCGTTTTGTGCCGTTGGCGAGCTGCATAAAGAGTCACTGATACTGATTACTTGGCGTAAAATTGTTACATCTGATTTAATAGTCGGCGCAAAAATCTTGAAAAGGAAGATCTAATGTTACGTTTTTTTTTAATCGCAACACGCTTGTCGTACGATCACACACGACTCTGAGATCAACCCACGGTATTATCGCACAAGCACTGCTTGTGCAAATTTGTCACAACCTAAACATTAAGTTCCATCGATAAGTCCTAAAATCAAGCTTAGTTACTGCCTTAAACAAATAGTATAATACAATATAGACAACTCTATTACAGTCGCCTGATTCGATTCAGGTGCATCTCATAGTAACGACTAGGGCTGTTACTTTTGATAACTTCGAAACTTCAAAGATTTCGAAAGTTCCAAGTCAACTTCGAAGCTTCGAAAGTTCGGATGTCGAAGCCTTCGAAGGAAATGACCAGTCCTAGTAACGACCTCACCACCTCTGATTAAGGGTGGTTAAGGGAAGTTTTACCGATTGGCTAAAGTATTCTCGTCGCTATATGGCTTGTCTTACATTTTTCAATAGACATTATAGCGCGGCGGAATTACAATTGTCGACTAGTGGTGACAGCGGACCGATCTTTCCTCTTCCACTTCCCACTCGGTCTGCCTCGTACTGAACGTCCAAGGACAAACCTAAAATGACAAGCACTTTAAGCTTCACTCTGCACATTGCAACAAGTGAAAAATTTGCCGTATGTATACATGTAATGATTTTTCTAGGGCGTAAACTTTTCTAGCAATAAATTTCCGTGTGCTTAATCAACAAGTCGATAGAAACTGCAATTGAAACAATTTTCGATGAATCCCGTCACCATAAACATATTTGGCATTTTAGCCGTAATATTTGACAACCTGTAACGTACATTTCTGATATGCGTATTTACCGGAGGGCCTCCGGGAAGTGGATGGGTGATGCAACGATCCTGTTGACATTGTATTTGATTCGGGAATAAATGCGGCTACTAGCAGCGCGCAGATCACAAGTAACGCACCAAACACGAACGGCGGCCCCGGCACAAGCTGGAAACACAATTCAACGAAACACTTGAGTTTAAATTAAGTCGGAAAATACTTTTGGCTTATATATTTATAGATACATAAACGTGCCGAGTGTCTCTTCTTCCGACAAATAAGTTTAACGCTGGACATAAAATTACAGGATAGGCTAACAGAAAGAAACTATGCTTACCTGCAGATATAATGTATGTACCTGAGGCATTATGTCAAGATGTGTACTAGTTCCCGTTCTGTTGGTTTCGTCCACGAACGGTTTCAAGGGAAGGTTGGGTGTGTCGTCGTTCAGGTCGACGTGAAAGAGGTAAAATATGACACCGAACATAGCAGGTCCGAGTCCATTGCAGAGACCACGCATCCCAGTCACCATACCTTGTACCAATCCCTGTTTATCGGCGTCCGAATGCATGGATACGAACGCGGAGATCGCGGGGTACGTGATGCTTGATACAGAAGCAAGTACTCCAGCGGCCCACATCATCCTTGAAACAATTAACGTTTGATAAGAGACATTGACACGTTGTCGCTCTTTGCCATCGCGTTTAATCTCGACTCGTTATCGTAATTTTGTTGCTACTAATAAAGTAACATCTGCTCGTTAGCGGAGAAACAAGTAATTTACCATGTTTGCGAGCCGAATCCGTACCACATGAGCTGTAACATCTCGAACAGCAGACCGAGCATTATAGTGTGTTTGCTGCCGAGCGTTCTCATCAAGGGCCCTAATACAATTTGCGCCCCCACACTCAGGATGCCCACCACGGCGATAAATATTGCTACCATAAGATTGGAGAAACCCATGGCCAATTTTAAGTAAACGAATATACAACTATACTGTCCCGCTTCAGGGAGGTAACTCAGGAACACAGTGACACACAGCATTAAAATAGTATGATCTTTGCCAACCTGCAAAGTAAATGTACATTTCTTTTCTACACACAGTGCTCCTATTTAGAAAAATGATGCGTCGCACAAATATCGCGCCCTCTCGTCTCTGCGCGACGGATTCTGTAATCTCTTTGATACTTGTGCCTTTACCTTTCCAAGAGCAGCAAACGGATCGGCCTGCTCCCACGATATGGGCGCCGGCGGACGTGTTTTCTCAGGCAAACTTTCAGGTACGGCCACTAATATGAAAAACACATCCAAGACTGCGATCGCCGTTGCTAATGCCACGGAAAGATTTTCTCCGTATGTCTTCATGATATAAGCACCCAAGGCTGGACTTATCACCATACTCGCGGCAAAAGTTGCCGACACCTGAGGAGCAAAATGTCCAATTATTTTATCTCATACGTCAGGTTGCATCATGACCGTCGGCTTGCGAAGGGAAAGCTCTGGCCGTTGAAACGCAAGTGTTGCCACTTGGCCGATAAGAAATGGCATTCACGTACCAAGCCGTACGCGAGCGATCTTTGATTCTCTTCCGTCACGTCCGCAACGTATGCAAACACCACTGAGAATGTGCAAGCGAATACGCCACTGATGGAGATCATGGCGAAGAACCACCACGTGTTGATGCTCATTAGGGGAATTGGTGCGCATGTGAAGGCCACTGTGATGAGTAAAAAAAATTTTCGACCCCATACGTCGGAGAGGGCACCGATCAGTGGCGCGGAGAGGAAAGATAAGATCCCTTTGATTCCTATTATCAAGCCATTCATCAGGAACGTGTGATCCGGAAATGTTTCGTTCAGTACCCTAATAATAGGCATGGTGAGCAATCCCCATGCGAAGAATTCCAGAAATATTACAACCAGCGCGTGATACACGCTCGCCTCGCCGACGCCAGAGCTCTGAAAAAGACAAGAACAAAGCGATCCTTAGCACGGGCGCGTGAAACGTGGCGCGGTATAATTGTTAATAGGAACGTGCGTGTGTGTGTGCGGGCGCGCAAGAGCGTGTAAAATAAATCCCCGGCAAATGGATACGGCCTTCTGCGGGTATCACAGGCGACGGATACTTAGCAGCTGACCTTGAGGTGTCTGTAGCATTGCTGAACGAACGTAGGGGGAGGCGTGAGTTTGGCTATAGCGTGATCCTGACTGTTGTGTATCTCGGAACAGGTCGGGCCCAGGCCCTCTGCCCCGCCGTTCGCCCCGGGGGGCATGGCCCCTAAAGAGTCTCGCTACGTGTGCTTCCTTTCATACTCTCACGTTTTAATCGACACGCCCGCCGTCGTTCCGCTTACGCGACACAGAGACGGATAGTCCTCTCCCGGAGCCATTAACGTCATATCGGCGCACCGTTGCCACAGTTTCCTGCGAGATCTTCCTTCGTCCCTCGATAACGCTCGCAGTTGTCGCTCGCTCAGGCCCGCGTCATTTCTCATAGCTTCCCTAACGTAACGTCCAAGGCAGACGGGATAGCGCACCATCGTTGAAACGCATGCCTCGCACTAGATTAGCTACCACGAGTGCTTTCCGCGGCCCGTTTCATTTACATTTTTGCCACACGAGTGAGATTGTTACAACGAAGCCGCGCATCTGTCGTCGCTATATATATATATATCTATATATATATATTCGTTTTACATGTCTATCGACAGCGCCTATTAATACAAAACTTTTGATTAACGGTTTGCAACGCTTCTATAAAATAAAACTATTTACTATCACTTTCGCGAATATCATTTATATGCTACGTCTCCTTATGTACACTCTGCCTCGGCGGGTTGCGGGTAAGAAAAGTGAATCGAGTCGTGAGATGCAGGTCACTCCGTTTGTCACTCTGCGCCTCCTCGCTCGCATTCGCGGGAGCGTGACATAATCGATCTCTCTCTCTCTCTCACTCTCTCACGATCGCTCGTCAGCTCGGTTTGAACTTTTTGTTGGCAGTGCAAGGCTCAGGCCAGCGCGTCCCTCCGTGGTGTCCGACTGAAATCCGCTCGATCTCGACGCGCGCGTCCCGCGTCTGTCAAGGGTAACTCCGCGTTCGTCGAGGCACATGACATAATTAGTCCTGTAACGCTGCCGTCCCGCGTGCAGTGCCAACTCGCTGGCGTCATTGGTTTTCTTGGCGGGCTACGCGAGATCCGGGGGGGGCAGAGCAGGGGAGCCGCGTCCCCTGCGACGGGGCCAGGCTCGGGGAAACCGCGCGGCGTCTCCCCGCTCCCTCTGCCCATCGGTGTGAGTCTTTTCCCCCTCGTGACGGGGAGCGCGCGAGCGACGCTGCTTCCCGGAGAGCCCGGGGGGACGGGACGACTCGCGCGCGGCCTTGATCCGATCGCGCACGGCCGCGGCGCGCACCGAGTGACGTCACGGCGGCCGACGCGAGGGGCGCGAGGGACTCGCCTCGGCGACACGGAGGGACGCTTCTTCTCGGCGGCGCTTCGTCGTCCACTCGACGCCCGGGGGTTCTTCTGTGCGGCCGAGAGCGGCGGCGGCGGCGTCGTCTTTCTCTTCCTCCTGGTCTCTTTCTGTCTGTCACCCCCTCTCTCGTGCTGCCGTCGCGTATCTCGTAATCCTGGAGACCGCGGCCGTTCGAGTGTGGCGGCGGCGGCTGCTGCGGCGAGACGAGATCTCGGGCGATCACATATTTCCAGCCGAGAGCCTTCGGCGCGCCGTCAACCCCGTCGCGCGGTCCATTCGCGTCGCGCGGGACGGTTCACGCGAGGAATCGAACCTCCGCATATCGCGACTGCTCCGACTGGTCCCTCTCTCTCTCTCTCTCTCTCACCCTCATCCCCTCCCACGCCGTCTCCTCCCCCGCTCGGCGACGGTACAGCCTGGTCGAGCTAACTCCGCGGGCCCCGCCGTCCTAACCTAACGACCACAGCTGTGCGGCCGAGGCTCCCGCAGAGCGGCGCCGCGAAGCGGTGCCGGGGCGGTCGGATTAGGTCGGTACGCGCGACGCATTGCGATCCATTCGTCGCCAGCACGGACGCGGGAGCGCATCGCGCGCGCCGAGTAATTGATCGATGCGCGCGACACTCGTCTGTTTATGCGCTACGGTGCATGCGTGTGCGGTGCATGCGCGCGCGCGCGCGCGCAAGAAAAATGTTAATGTGTGTACGCGCGTGTGTCTCGCTGACAGGTAAAAAAAACACAGATAAAAACAAATGCGGAGTAATGTCCACTTTTATCTTCCTCGAGTTGGGGAATCACAGCTGGGATGTACGGGGTGACCTCGGCGAAGGCAATTGGACGATCGCGAGACTCGCGAGTCGGTTGCCGAGGGGGAAGAAAAAAATACGGCAACCGTTCGCATCGGGAACGGAGAGGAGTTAATTTGATTTGTATCGGGCGATTCGCCGAACGTCGATTGGCGTAATACAATGACGTAAATAAGTGGGCTCGATGTTGATCCGTAGAAATGAGACTGCCAGCCCGGTGAACATCGAGCGGTTGCATTGCATTTACGTTACAATTTCTCGCTCAATGTACCCGAGGGGAACGAGAAGTCAAGACGACGTCGATTTGATGTCATACTTCGGTCAACGTGACGTCAAATTGACGTCGTCTTGACTTTTCATCTTGCCTCGGGCAAATGTAAAGCCCGTATCAGACTACGGATTGGGATTGGGATTAGATTGAAATCTGACCAATCGCAGTAAAGTTTACTGATCCCAAGTTTAGTAACTTTTACTCCAATTGGTCAAATTTCAATCCAATCTCAATCTCAATCCGTAGTCTGATACGGGCTTAAAGCCCGGATTGGGATTGGGATTAGATTGAAATTTAACCAATCACAGTAAAGTTTACTAATCTCGTGCAGTAACTTTTACTCTGATTGGTTAAATTTCAATCTAATCCCAAACTCAATCCGTAGTCTGATACGGGCTTTACGTTACATTCGCATCGTTGAGTGAGAAATCGTAAAGCCCGTATCAGACTACGGATTGGGATTGGGATTAGATTGAAATCTGACCAATCAGAGTAAAAGTTACTGAACTTGAGATTAGTAAACTTTACTGTGATTGGTTAAATTTCAATCTAATCCCAATCCGTAGTCTGATACGGGCTTAACACAGATGCAACGCGACCGATGCTCGGTGTTTACTGGGCGTGAAGCTTCCGTTGAGAAAATTGAGGACCTAGTGGAGGCTGCAGGTCGAACCAGCGTCCAAACCAAGGAGAAGAAAAAGCCAGGACGATGTCAATTTGATGTCGTATCGACATCAAATTTGTATCAGATTTTGGTCAATAAATTTGGCGACATAAATTTGGTCAATATGACATCAAATTGACATCGTCCTGACCTTTTCTTCTCCTCGGGAAGCTTCGCCACAAATTGTTACGCTCCCTGTCGTCAGTCGGATTTTCCTCTTCGAGCGCACAGTCAGACGTGTTTACAAAAAACGATTAGTCAGCTGATAACGCGTCTCATAGGTTATGTAGATAAGCCGCCGAGTTACTAGTCCCTTCTTCCTCGCGAATGTGCCTCGCGCGAAGCGCGTAAGGACACCCCTCGGAAAAAACCGTGTGCGAGCGGCATGCACCCAAGTGCGATAACGACTTTTTGAGATAATAATGCGCGAGTGCTGGAAAATACACGACGCACACACGTCGCAATTAGCGCGACGTACGTGCGTCCGTCACGTCTGCACAAAAATGATGATTTATACGTGCACGCGCAAGTGCGAGAAAATAATATATATACATAATATTCAGGACCAAGCGTGCCCGCGGATTTAAACGCTCCCGTTTTATCTTCGCGAATCGCCGAAACGTAGAACGCACCACTCAAGGAGAAGAAAAAGTCCAGGATGGCTTCAGTTTCATGTCGTATTGACCAAATTTGTGTCAAATTTTGGCCAATTTCATGCCATATTGACCAAAATTTGACACAAATGTGGTCAATATGACATCAAATTGACACCATCCTGACTTTTTGAATGTTTGATGCCAATTTGATGCCATATTAACCAAAATTTGACACACATGTGATCAATATGGCATCAAATTGACACCATCCTGACTTTTTCTTCTCCTTGGGCAGCCGTGCTTACTCCAATTGTACGGAGTGTACGAGTCAGAAGCCAGAGACTCGATCGTGAATCTCTTCCTCGAGCGTAAACTCGCGGGAAGTGAAAATGTTCATCGGCAAACGTTGAATTCGTTAACAAAATTTTGCACTTTTGCACGAGTTCACGCGAGACAAACGGACTCACGGTTCGAGCCCCAGAAGTGTATGTCGGTCCTTTTCCTTTTTCCAAGAAAAAGCACTGACATACAGTTCAGACTTCGGGGCGCTCGATCGCGAGTCTCTTTCTCCGGCGTAAACTCGCGAGAAAAACTCCGTCAGCGAATTCAACGTTTGTCAATGAAAACTGTCGCTTTTCACGAGTTCGCGCCCGAAAAAAAGATTGGCGACCGAGAACGCATCGTAGACCGGGCCTTGTACCCATCGGGGTAGCCGATCGTGCCGACGCGCTACGTGAGGATAAAACGGGCCTCGGAGATAAAAGCGGTGCGTGTCCGCGCGGCACGCAGGTATGCCGCGGGTGTCGGAGCGAGAGGGTGCTGGTCGGGCGGCTCGGGGGGAGGAGGGGCGAGGAGGGGGGGCGGGGGGGGGTGGTGTCGGTGTGTTTTTAGTTGGGTTTAACGTATAAAATCGTTGGGTACCGTGATGACTCCATCCTTCATAATGGACTTTCGGCTTCGTATGATCATGCCCACGACCTTCTTAGAGACCTTGGCGGGCATATTCACGCACTGCGCGCACAGACTCTTTCGCTTCTTCAATTTCATGAATCCCTAGACTCGCGACGGCACGAAAGAAGTCATCTTCCCCGCGTACACCGTGCTCGGGCCCCACGTCGCACCCCCCGGGAGAGATTTACTTTCAGCTATCGCGGACGGCCGTTCTCATGGTGGGCATCTACATAACAGCGGAGCGAACGAGGCGAGAACGAACGGACATATCCGCGTGTCCGAGGACCAACACAGACTATCGCTGACTATCGTGGACGATCGCGTACGGTCACGGAGTATCGCGACTCTCGCGAGGCGACCGCGTTGGTTCAATATGGAGTGACTTACATCGCGCCCAGTGTCGCCGCACGACACCCGTTATCCAATAGGAGAGCTGGTTTTCTGGTGACTTTAGCAGAGTTACTAGAAAGCGGACTCTCCTATTGGACACCGTTGGCCGCGTTCGGCAAACACAACTGTTGAGTGAGCGCTCAGTATGATTGGTTTATGGCCGCGTTCAGCAGACAACTGTTGAGTGAGCGCTCAATATGATTAGTTCATACTTTTAGATCCAGCCAGTCATATTGGCCGCGTTCAGCAGACACAACTGTTGAGTGAGCGCTCAGTATGATTGGTTAATACTTTTAGATCCAGCCAATCATGTTAAGAAATCATTGAGCGCTCGCTCAACAGTTGTGTCTGCTGAACGCGGCCATTAAAGCCCGTTGCAGACGATGCTATTTCTCCTGCTGGATTGCTTGCAATTTAGTAAATTACTAGGAATCCTGAGTGCTGAGTGGTGCAATGATAGTAATTTACTAAAGCCCGCTGCAGACGATGCTATTTTTCCTGCTGGATTGCTTGCAATCTAATAAATTACTATCGTTGCACCATTCAGCACTCAGGATTCCTAGTAATTTAGTAAATCGCAAGCAATCCAGCAGGAAAAATAGCATCGTCTGCAGCGGGCTTAAATCACAAGCAATCCAGCAGGAAAAATAGCATCGTCTGCAGCGGGCTTAAGAAATCATTGAGCGCTCACTCAACAGTTGTGTCTGCTGAACGCGACCATTCTGATAGAACCGTTTCAATAATTCCGTTGAAATAGTTCTGTGATTGGTGATACGCAGGTTACGCTTAAGCCCGTATCAGACTACGCGGATTGAGATTGGGATTAGATTGAAATTTGACCAATCAGAGTAAAAGTTATTGAACTTGAGATTAGTAAACTTAAAGCCCGTATCAGACTACGGATTGAGATTGGGATTAGATTGAAATTTGACCAATCAGAGTAAAAATTACTGAACTTGAGATTAGTAAACTTTACTGTGATTGGTTAAATTTCAATCTAATCCCAATCCCAATCCGTAGTCTGATACGGGCTTTAAGCCTATCACACAATGCCAGGCAACAGGCAATAGGAATAGGGAATAGAATTTTTGACGCGTTGGATTCGTCGGAAATTTTCGTTCAACCAATCCAACGCGTCAAAAATTCTATTCCCTATTCCTATTGCCTGTTGCCTGGCATTGTGTGATAGGCTTTACTGTGATTAATTAAATTTCAATCTAATCCCAATCCCAATCCGTAGTCTGAGGGTGCTTTCACATGGAGCGTAAATTGCGTAGCGTAACCTGCGTATCACCAGTCACAGGATCATGCTGATAGAACCGTTTCAATAATTCCGTTGAACTAGTCCTGTGATTGGCGATACGCAGGTTACGCTACGCAACTTACGCTCCATGTGAAAGCACCCTAAGTTCTATGGGGGTTGCGTCCACTGATGCCAGCCGAGAATCATACCCACTCCTATTTCCGCTGTAGCGTTGAGGCAAACGTTCTCGGCTGGCATCAGTGGTTGCATCATCCCGCACGAGGCCCGATAGTCGGGGCCCCTGCATTGTATAATACCATCAATTAATCGTCTATAATTCTATAACGTCTAATACCCGTTTCTATCAACGTAGTTTAACTTTTAATCTAACAGTTTAATCTCGATTCAACTTACACATTGTATCTTTTTCCAGCTTTGCGAATTGGAAAAAGACAAGAAATAATTTAAGCTGAGATTAAAGTTAATCTACATTGGTAGAAACGGGCATAAGAAGAAGAAGACTATTGGCTAGTCGTGGCCGTATTGGAGCCGTGTCTAGGATCCAGGGGCTCGATTCTTGAATTTGTTTGAAGGAGAAACGTATGCGAAAATTCTGCTCTTACAGAAAAGTTGCAAGTTGATTGGCTATTCGCATGGCTTTAACCAATCGACTTTCAACTTTTCTGTTAGAGCAGAATATTCGTATACGTCGGGCCCCAGGAGCGATTAACCAGAAGAAGAGGTACATAGAAATCGGTGCGTTGAGCCGTCTAGCGTCGATCCGTAGTCCATGGACGAGAGAGACTGCCGCTGCACCACCTAGCGTCGTGCGCACGAGACACGACGACACGTTTCGGGGCCGCTCGCCAGAGTCGCCAGACGCCCTCGCTACGTCGATTAGTGCACACTGCCGCTTTGCGCATAGCACCGTGAGAGTGCGTAGCGTTCAGTGGTGGAAAAAAAAATGGTGGTTATTTGGGTGTAGTCGGGGCGAATTTTCTGCAACACAAATGTGAGTACCGGCTGGCTAAGGGGTTTAAACCGAGTGCCGTTTCATTGACGCAACCGCGGGGGCTAGTATGACTGGGTCCGCGTCGGCGGTAACGAAAATACGAGCGAGCGGACGGACACTGATTCTCCCCCGCATGAAAGCCCGAGGCCGAAGTAGGTACTGTGGTTGGTTCGTGCATCTCTCTTTCTCTCTCTCTCTTTCTCACTCACACACCTCCGCATGACATGTACGTCGCGCGCGCGCGGGCACATTGGCGAGATACTTTATCAGTCAAAAATAACGGCGCGCCGCATGACGTGCCGCGGGGCGCCGCGGCCTCGGCGCCACCTCGCCCGCCCCACGGCACGTCGGGCTCGCGGAACGCGCAAAACGTGTCCCGACCAGCGGTATTTTTGGGATAGATGTCACATTATCCTCTCTGTCTCTCGCGCGTGCGGTGTGGTGCGGTGCGGTGCGGTGTGGTATGCCTTAACGCCGCCGTGCGCCTCGCGTGTATGTGTGCGTGTGTGCGTGCGTGTATGTGTGTGTGCGCGTGCGCGCGCGCGCGCGTGTGGTGTGTGTGTGCGCGTGTAACGGGTATGCGTCGTTTGATTTGCGAACGCTTCTGCGTGTGCGTATGCGTGCGCGTGCGCGCGCGCCGCCCGCGCGCGTGTGCGTGCGTGTCGTGTTTGCGCGCGCGAGATCTCCCTTGACCGCCGTGTATAACGCGGCTTCCTCTGCCCGTGTCAGCGGGTCGCGCGCGCCGTCGCCTCGGCTGCGTGTTGGTGAGGAGCGTAACGTGCGTGTGCGACACGCGCACGTACGTCTCGGGCGCGCGCGCGCGCGCGCTGCGTGTCCAGACACCACCAGACACCCTGTATATTGTCATATTTTTCAAGCGGCGTATCCCCACGGTGCGCTTGACAACATTCTGCGACTTTAACGGCGGAAACTGTGTCTCCTCGTGCCTCTTTGTTCGCGACCCGCTCGCGCGCGTGCAGCCTCGCCGATCAAAACACCAAAAATTTGCGCTCTCCCACTGTCTCCTACGTCTCTCGGCTCGACGTTCCTCTCGATTGACGCGTTGATGGTTTCACGGCAAATTGATTCGCGGCGACGATAAACTCCGTTTAGGCCCCCCATGCGTCTCTCTCTCTCTCTCTCTCGCGCGCGCGGGCGCGCGTACTTCCGTAACTCTCGATTTTATTGTTAAACGGCTGATCCGCGGAGCTAGCGGTTAATAACAAATGTACCCTAACGCCGGAATAGTTGGAGAACGTCTCATGTGAAACGCAGCACTCGACTTTTCTTATATATATATATATTTTTTTTAAATATATTTTGTAAGTATGCACACACCAAGGCGATTGAGACAACGGTATTCTCGTTGTCGCGCGAGATTAAATATTAATTTATTTATTGCCGCCTGTTGACAAGCCAGTCATACTAAATTATTAATTGTTCTGATTATAATGTGATTTGGGTTGCGACAAACGCGTCGAAGCTGACTTTGTCACGTTAATATTTTTTTTCTTAAATTAATAAAATGTTACAAATGTTTGGACAATTTTACCAAGAGTTAAAATAATAATTTTCCTTTTTTTATCTTCACATTATTTGTAAAGTAAAATATATTTTTCCTGTGGAAAACATTGCAAGTACTTATGGTTGTCGGGTTGTTTGAAATAAAAATGTTAATCGACAATAGAATTTTGACATGTAATAACGGTACGAAATTGTCTGATTTCAGATCCTTTCAGTTCCTCGGGCACTAGAAATTTGCCAGCCAGCTCGGCAGTTTGTATGACGAGATATATAGCCTAAGTCCAAAATGTTACAGATACGGATATTTTAAATCTTATAACAAAGACTGCTCGTTAAGAGATATATATATAGTCACAGTTGGGAAGAAGGTTTTAATTTGGTTACCTTAAGGAGGCGATGATAATACGAGTTTTATTAATTTTACATCGGAGCGAAGCCGAGTGTAGAAGCGCAAGGGAATAGGGAAAGTAATTTTGTGAAATAGGATCTTAAGTAAAGTTGGTTATGTGCAATGCCGAGATGCTACAATGACAGCAAGACAGTGAGTTCTGTGAGCAGCAACTATAACCACAGTACAGACGATATTATATTAACGCAATCGCATGCTTTCTCGATTGGAAGTCAATTGAACGTAGACGAAGATCCCCCGGCCGTTGAAAAATCACACAGACGCCTTCGGTGTGACCTAAGTCCTGTCCCAACAAGTACAAACTCCAATTTAAACATAAAGCTTCTTGGTTTAAAGGTAAGATGTCACGGTGTATATTTTTATTACACGTGTACACTTCCCTGCGGTACATTCCGCACTTGAGATGGATTCGACGTTATTAAAAGTTAGTTTAAAAACAGCCTAATTAGGTATTGAAAATATGAGAAGTGCCCAGACTTTTTCACGTGAATTCTTGATATTTTTCGCATTGCAGGGTGACAAGGGTACTCGTCAGGATCATCAGGTGAGCACTGGATCTGGGGGGCACAGAGAAAAAAATAGGGAGACTAAAAAGAGAGCAGCTATAGGCAATACAGTGCGTGGATTCTTCTCATCTGGCCACAGCAGGCAGGACAGGTATAATGATGTCTGTATCAAAAATCATGCTTCTTACATTGTCATTTGTTACATTTCAATCTTAATTTATTAACTATTTCTTTTATTGTAATCTACCAATCTCCTTTTTCTAACTAATTGCGATAGTTTTCTTGTTAATTTTTCAAACTATTCTATTTTACAAAATTCTATTATTAATTGCGCATTTATGTAACTATAACGGACTCTCGATAATTCAAGGAAGAGTGGAGATTAATTTTTTCTACACACATAAAGAAAAAACAATTTCATGTATTCATGCATTCTTAAAGTTGCTTCTTCTTTGCTTGACCTAAAATGAAATGTTATAAATAATATTATAAAATTTGTCAATTTTTTTTTAGATATAAAAGAGTAGAACGAATATTGATAATGAAAAGATATCAATGATAAAATTAAAGAAATATACAAATTAGAAGATAATTAATTTATATAAATTAGCATTTTTCGTAATAAATTAATTCCTTCTTTCTCAATAATTGAGAGTCTTTGTAATTGTAATTACACAATAAGCTTGTTATGCACTAATGCGAAACAGAATATGCTTTATATAAATAAGTAGTTTATATAAAATATGTTACTAATTACGCGAATAGAGACATGCGTATATACACATGTATTATAGCAGATTTGGAAATAACAAATCTGAATCTGCAACGCTGCCCTTCAAAATTTTCTTATACTTTTAAAAACGAAGAAAGATATTTTATACACAGATATATTAGGTGACTCATGCGTATAGAATTACACTACCTTTCGAAGAATCACGTGTCATGTATACTCAAATACCAAATAAGATATGATTGGATGAACCGCCCTAAATTCTGATAGGAAAAGTGACATTCTTTATAGTCGTGCAGTGTTCGTGGTGTTGGAATATTTCTTTATACGCGCATTGTGCATGGAGAAAATTGTACATGTGTAAATACGTTTTTCATTCTACAATTAAAAAAATTAATTTTAACGAAAACGAGCTCATTAATTTAGATATTTATGTTATTAATGTAACGTTTTGAACTTCGAATTAAATCTTTTTCCCCCAAAACCTTGTCGTTAGTAAAACAACGGAAAACGTTATTGATTTTCATTTTATGTGAGACGAAACAAATTCTGCTTGTTCTACTTAATGTAAAATAATCTTTGTGGAATTTCAGGTATGAGACAAACAGGCAACGTTCTTCAGGTGGAACTGGCGGTGGCTTGTCTAGTTTATGTCCCAAGCTGGTGGCCAGTGGAGGCACTGGCAGCCAAAGTGGCATTAGTTTGGCAGTGGGCCACTTAGCCTCTCAGGAAAGCGGAGGCCCTTGCGCAGTTGTAACGACCCAAAGGATCCACGCACACAATCACAAACGCCAAAGAAAGTTATCTATCGTCGCGCAGGCAGGTCCTAGTGCCAACACTACTGGTGATAGGAAGGTCAGTCGAATCGCAATTGGCTAGATTAACGCGGAAACGTCCAAACGTTTATTGTATAACACGATTAAGATACATTACTATCGTACACTTGAAGTGTCATTGCGACTTACTGTCATTTTGTGCTTTATTCAGGTATTATCCAATGTAAATCGCTCGGCTAGTATTTCCAAAAAGCAAATTCGAACGCAGCGACACGATCAGAGCACTGATTCTATATCTATAACTAGCAACGGTCTCGCGACCAGTTCACCATCTTCTAAAAAGAAAGTACTATCTGCCTTGCGTATTTCTGATCGGTCATCAACCCAAAGTGTGAATTCATCATCCTTAGATCATGAAAATGATCGTAGTTTCAGTGATGCTGAAGAAGCAATCGCAGCAACGGAGAATGTGTTTGCAACACCAGGTATGCTTTTCGAGATAAAAATAGAATTGTATGATGTATACAATACAAGAGAGATTTGTTAAAATTTGATTGCATTATTTATTATATATGTATATAGGGTCTAGTTCTATACCTTCCACGCCAATTAATAAAGTAAAATCGGCAAAACTCTGCAAGGATGAGGAAGCAAATGTGGCACGTGATATTCTCGCAGAATGTACCGATTCATCAAGGAACGCTGCAAATGCGCAACACGTGATTTTAAACGAGTTCGAACAAAGGAATGTTATGCCAATAAAACCATCTGCTGTACACGTATTACATGCGGTTAATCGGGAAATTATTATAAATGATAAGCAAAAATCGTTGTCGAGCTCTACCCACGGTGCCAGATCTATTAGTAATAGTGACCAAAAAGTTTTGAAACGTCAAAATACAAATTCTGCAGAGAAAATGATTGAGCATCATAGTAGCAAAGACGTTGAAACAGCTAACGTAGAAAAGGATCTAAGTGATAGTACGACATCGACGGAGGTAGAAATCAATTCCACAAACGACAATAGCGAAGGCAAACAAGGAAAAAGTAGAAAATCTCTAGGGTACACAGATGGTGGTGATGGTAGTACAGATAAAGAGACCACGGGACCTTCGAGTATCACAAGTAGCGATAAGAGAGAGAAGATATCGAGGGTCAAAAGTAACGCAAGTTTAAACGAAGAGGTAGTCAAGAGTTCGAGGTTTGTAACATCTAAGGTACCGGAAGAGATAACGGATGCGGACTCCAAAACGATGGATGTAGAGAAAGAGGAGGAGGAGGAACGAGTGACGATATACGATGACGATGGCACCAGTATCAGCGACATAGTAGCAGCACAGGCGCTTCACGAATCGTTAAGTAAACTGGGCAAAGTTCCGCCGTTAGACACCGAAATGGAAAAGGTGCAGAATATAAGTTTACGAGACGAGACAGAAGGGGGAGAACACTCTGAAAAGGATATAGTTGCACAGGAGGAAACGGTGGAAGGTTTCATCGGTCCACTGCTTGACGAAAACTTTAAGGCAGATGAGAAATTGTCGCAGAAAACAATGGCAATGGAGGAGGTGCAAAATTTATTAATGAAAGTTAAGGTGCAGACTGTCGAAGATGACGACGACGAGGAGAAAGCCGTAGGTATTTCGCCGGATGGGAGATTTCTCAAATTTGAAGAGGAAATTGGTCGTGGCAGTTTCAAGACTGTTTATCGCGGGTTAGATACTCAAACGGGCGTAGCTGTAGCTTGGTGCGAATTGCAGGTACGATATCCTTTTAAAACATGTCTATTACCAACAAGTATTTAAATATATTATTTCAACGTAAGTTAATTGAAAATTGAACATCCATTTAAATAATGGAACTTGACGCTTATTTTTTGTAGGAGAAAAAATTGAATAAAACTGAGAGATTGAGATTCAGGGAAGAAGCTGAAATGTTGAAGGGATTGCAACATCCAAATATTGTAAGGTTTTATGATTATTGGGAAGTTACACTTACCCGTAGAAAATATATTGTACTAGTCACTGAACTTATGACATCGGGAACATTGAAAACGTAAGTACTTTATCGTTTATAGAGCGTTCCATTGTAGCACGTGTTTTTCACTGGCTGTATTTCAACAGGTATTTGAGGAGGTTTAAGAAGATTAATCCCAAAGTAGTAAAATCTTGGTGTCGGCAAATCTTGAAAGGGTTGAGCTTCCTTCACTCCAGGTCACCGCCCATTATTCATCGTGATTTGAAATGTGATAATATCTTTATCACTGGCACTACGGGAAGCGTGAAAATCGGCGATTTAGGTCTCGCAACATTGAAGAATCGTAGTTTCGCAAAGAGCGTTATCGGTACACCGGAATTTATGGCGCCTGAAATGTACGAGGAGCATTATGACGAGTCAGTTGACGTTTATGCCTTCGGAATGTGCATGCTCGAGATGGCTACTAGCGAGTATCCATATTCCGAATGTACGGGGCCAGCACAAATATACAAACGCGTAGTATCGGTAAGCATGTGTAATGATTATGATATTTATGAGAGATAAAGCTTTATAAATTTTATGAATTAAGCCAACACTTAATAAAGGAGTGATGTGATATTCTAAATAGCAATTTTACATTACGCAGGGTGTTAAACCACAGAGCTACGATAAAGTTGAAAATCCAGAAGTGCGTGATATCATAGAAATGTGTATACGCTTGAAGAAGGAAGAGCGACCGCTAGTTAAGGATTTACTTAACCACGAATTCTTCGCCGATGATGTCGGGTTGAAGTTGGAGATGGTATCGCGGGATTCGGCGGTTGCAGATATCGAGTTGTCGCGCGTTGAGTTTAGACTGCGTGTGCTAGATCCCAAGAAGCGCAGCAACAAACACAAGGAGAACGAGGCGATACAATTCGATTTTGACATATTGGCTGATAACGCGGAAGAGGTAGCGTTAGAAATGGCGAAATCTAGCCTCATATTAGAGGAAGACGCAAAAGCAGTGGCTAAGATGTTGAAATCGCAAATTACCACTCTGTTGCGAGAACGAGAGGAGCGCAAAGCCAAAGAGGAGAAGGAACGCTTGGACAGGGAAACCGCCGCTACAGCCACGGAAGCCACGGCTAATGCTGCAAACGCTGAGAACTTGCTGCAGCAACAACTGCTTCTTCAACAGATGCAATTGCAGCAGCAACAGCAACAACAGCAACAACAAATTCAATCTAATATCGGCATACAGATACAAAATCCAGTCCCGATGCAATTGCAACAAACTCAAATGCCAATTCAACAACAGCAACTACAACCGACCGCTCAACAAGCTCAACAGCATAACTTGCAAGCGCAGCAGGTTCAGTTGGTCCAGCAACAGCCGATAATTCAACAGCAAACGTCAGTCGTGCAGCCCCAACAAGCACAACAAATACAATATCAGCAGCAAATACAGCAGCAGTATCAGCAGCAGCAACCGCAACAGTATCCTCAGCATGTTCCGCAGAGCATGAACGCGAATTCTCCGCAGTGTTCGACTCCGCAAAACGTTCAGGCTCAACCTCAATTTCCTCAGGTGCCACAGCAGATGCAACAGCAGCAAATGCAACAGCAGCAGATGCAACAGCAGCAGATGCAACAGCAACAGATGCAGCAGCAGCAGCATGTACAGCAGCAATACATACAGTTGAATCAGATGAGCGTTCCACAACAAATTCCTCATCAGATGCAGCAACAGATGCAGCCCCAAATGCAGATGCTACCCCAACAGCAGCACATGCACCAACAGCTTCAGCAACACGCGCAACAGCAGCAATACGCGACGCAACCGCAGCTCCAGCATGTTCAGCAGCTGCATCAACATACCGTTGGTTCGCCGCCTGTTCAGAATCAGCAATACTATCAGCAGAACACTACCGGCTCCTCGGGGTATGTGTCAGCGGGTTCATTATATCAGCAAACCATGCCGCAACAAATATTTCACACATACACAACGTCTACCAATCCCTCCGGTCACGTGGAGATTTTATCGTCCACCCAAACTGCGACGCAGATTTACTCTCACACGAGTTTACCCGCTGGCGCGGTGCCCGCGTCCTCTCAGTCGCAATACATCCCATCGGCAGGACAGGTTCAAGCGTCAATACCGTCGGGCATAAGTGTCAATAACACGCCGGCTGTGACTCATATGCAAAATGTCCCGACCTCGACGATCCCCAATATACAGAGCACGCCCGCTTTGCTCGGTAACACCGGCCCGCAGCCTCAGTCTCAACAAAATATTCTCGTGCAAATGCAGTATTCGCAGAGCGCGAATGTCATGCCCAATTCTATTTCGATAACGCCCAATATAGCGAACGTCCCAGCGCAATCGTCTACCAATCTGCAGCAGCAGCAGCAGCAGCATCAACAACATTTTCTTTCGAATGCGGATCAGTGCCCCACGACTGATAGGTCTTCCCTGGTAAAACAAGACACGATGGATTCGATACAGTCTCTGCCACCAGATCCACCGATTAATTTACAGCAAGATCAAGTTGCCGCGCCTGCTCCAGTCGCATCGGGTGTTGCACAGCAGACTGTAACATCAAATGATGGGTAAGATGAGAAAGAATTACAAGACGAGAGTGAAAAATTGTAAACCTAATAAAATATTTTATCTTTCAGAGTCACGCCGGAAAATTCGGAAAGCGTTCCTGCTTCCGAGAGGAGTCGGATAAAACGTTCAGGAACTAAACGTAAGAAGCCGGGCATTAAATTAACAGTCTTGTCTGTCAGTAGCGGCGAGGGACAATCAATGACCGTCGAGTGCCAGTTAGATACGAGTAAACAAAAGACTGTTACCTTTAAATTTGACCGAGACGACATGGTACCTACAGACATTGCCAATAATTTGGTAAGGATTATGGCATCTAACTTACTTCACGTACACGTTACTTTTTGCCTCGATCACAGTCTCTTTATCTCGTCTCTTAACGTGTCCAGGTTGCTGAAAATCTGTTGCCGCAATCTCAGTGCGAGACGTTCGTAGAATTAATTGAAGACATTGTCAAACAATTGCGTTTGGATCCTACGCGTGCTCTACCCTTGGTAGCACATGGTCCGCCTGATCAATCTGCCGGTGGAAGCCCAGTTACAAGTCGACGTCCTAGGGATCGCGACCACAGTCTCGATACAGCTAAGGTATGGCTTTTGTAGCTATTAGAGAATAAGCTAATCATTAATGTCATCGTCGAAGATGCCGGTGTATGATGTAAATCGATATATTTACATCATATTTTGTAGAATTTTGAAATTAATTTTCTTATCATCGCGTGTAATTTTTATGCGCTCTCTTTCAACGTGCAGATGCGTCCCAAGACAATGATTCGCATAAGTAATGCGATCATTTTCTCTTCGAACGGACCAATTTGTATTTAAAATTGAACTATAATCCCGGACAGTAATGTTAAAATAACATAGGGGGCTTTGAGTGGAACATATATTTTCAATGTAGAATCAAGGGTATGCATATAATTGGTGTGTATGGTTTTGGACGCAGCAGGTGAGACATGGCTCGCTAACACGTCAAAGCAGCCACCGATCGTCGTACAAAGTCCACCGTAGGCACCGTTCGGTGAGTTCATCGATCCCACCGTCCCTTCTCCCGTTTTTCTCCAACATTTCAGAACTTTATACTTGTGGACGCTTATGCATCTCATTTTTGTTACACTTGCACCCAATTATGCCCAGACTCGGACATCTGTTAGGCCATTGTAATTTTTTTCTTGTTATAGGTTCACATTATGTATGCAGAAATCTAAGAAAGTTTCGAGATTTCAGAAAAAGCTCTTATTTTTCGCGATACCGATTTCTTTCCTGACACACAAACGAGTACTCGATCTCGGAAAACTGTGACCGAGAAATTGATTCCCGTGTGTATGGAGATTTTCTGAAAATGTCCGAACTTTCTTGAGATTGATTTACACATCATATTTTTTACATCTTTCTTTTCACAGATCATCTTACATCATTACAGTACAACTTATATGTATCAAAGAAACTACGTATATGCATTATTATTATTTTGTGTGCTGTACTCGTTGACTGTATTGATTTGTATATCGAAAAATAATTCTGTGTATTTTATTTTACAAAAATTTTCTTATTCTTTGATAGAGTCTTGATTGAAAACATTTTTATAAGTATCTATTGCAATAATCCGTAATGTTCTCATATAAATATATAAACATATTTTGCATCATATTTTAGGCATTGCACAGTAATGAAATTTGCAAAATATTTCCATTGCGCAGATAAAAGTAAAGAAGTTTTTATAATACATTTTGTAAAATTGCTTTTTCATGGATATCTCTAAAGTACTTTTTACAAGACAAAGTTGATATAGAAGATATATTTTGACGTTTATGATGCAGAATTGTTAATATGTCCATTAAAATATATTGTGTGTATACAGGTCGTTGTTTATATTATATATTTATCTACTACCGACTATTTGAAATGTTAATAAGTAATTTTATTCATTTCAGAGAGATGAAACTTCAAATACGTCTACTCCAACAAAATTGTTGCCGATCGATCAGATTATTTCTCACATTGCCAATACCAGTTTGGAGAAGCAGCAAGTGGCTCAGACACCTGATAGTCAGGCCGCTGCCGAAAATACGTCAGCGGAGGCTTCCAGGAGGTCATCCACATCTACACAGAATACCGACACCTTGACACCTACAAATATACCGAGTGATCCAACGGACAATCAAGAAACTGTCGTTTCTGCAACGTCCGCGGAAACAGTTGTGGAAGCGCAGCACAATGTTCAGGACGACGCTAGTAATTCGGCCTTCAAATCTTATCAAGTGTCTACAACGCACGCTCAAACTCAAATACAGGATGCAACAGTGAGCGCGAGTCATGCGAGTGAGGCATCGAAAGAATCTCAAGAGCAGCAAGATGGGGTAGATGTAAAGGAATCGGAAATAACTAAAGAGACAAATGCGCCCGACGTTGCTGCAGAGGTATCGTCTCTGACGGTACCGACGCCAATGCGCAAAGTTTCTCGCTTTTTAGTCAGCCCTGTGATCGAACAAAAGAATATCGCGGCTGAAGAGGAATCTTCTACGGTCGGTGAGAGCGTAGATCGTACAAATGTCGCGATACCGCAGTCAGCGTCGCAGACCGTCGCACCGCCTGTCACGAATGCGGAGCTTATGTTGAAAAACGAGGAGCACGTAGAGGCGAATGTTTTAGAAGTTCAGAGTGCGACGGCGCACGAGCTAACTAGCAATAACGAAACGATAGTTCAGGGTGCCGGCAACATTCCGTATGCCGTGGAACAGACGGACAGTACGCAACAGATTTTACAGCCGGGGCAACAGTCGATCGGACTACAGCAGAGCATTATTCAAATGCAGACTCTGCAGCAGGTAACGGGACACGTGCAACAAACCACGACCATCGGTCAATCGAACCATACGATAATCGTCCAGGGATCTACGATAACGTCGCAACAAACTTCCCAGCAAATACCTCAAGCTGGCGTGCAGCATTTCGTGCCGGTCAATTCACAGGAGTTGCAGCCTCAGCCTCAGCTCCACTCGAACGGAATAGCCCAAGCGCAGGCGCAGTATCCGAGTCAAGCGATGATGCAGCCTGGTGTTGTGATGCAACAACCGCAGCAGCAAATCCCTATGCAGCAGGGCATAATGCAGATGCACGTACAAGGGGAACAGATGCAGGTCCAGCGTCCGGCCGTTCAGCAATTCATTCCGCAACAGGTACAGCCCCCGACGCAGCAATACGTGATGCTGTCGGGCCACATGCAACCGGTACAGCCGACGACTATGGACTCACAAATTTTGGAGGTGTCTGGCATAGCCGAGGAAAAGAGGCAAGGCGTGAACGTAACTAATATGCCTATGACGCATATGCAACACGTGCAGGTCGTTCCGCAAGACATCCCCGGTACAATGCCGATGTCGCAAGGCGTTGTAGAGGCCACTCAACCTTCTCATCAAAGCGTGCAACATGTTCCGGGAACCTTGCCTCCATCCATGCCGGCACCTGCCTCCGTACACCCAGTCGCTGCCGCAGACATCTCCGCGCCTAAAGTCGCCGTTAAAACGAAAGAGATGTCCTCGACGCTTCCAGATCTCGCGCAAAATCTAGCAAATATACTCTCAAATCCGAAATCCAAATCTGCCACGCCTCATCCTCTGACCAGCCACGAGCCAGCTGCCGTTCCTAACGTCGCTGCCTCCGCATCAGTCGACTACAAGCCTGTGCAATCCGAGCAGTATTTTCAGCCAATACAACCGGAGGCGAGTCAACTGCAAATGCAACCGCCTATTCAACACAATTTTCAAGGGCAGATCGTGCACCAGGCGTATCAGGGGCAGCAGAACTTTCAGCAGGCGTTTCAAAATCAGCAGGTGCTTCACCAGAATCAAGTGCAGCCGCAGCCGGTCCCGTTAACAATCCCTCAACAGATTGACGCGCAGTCACAGATGGTGCAGTCCATTCTGCAAAGTGTATCGGCTCAATCGACCGCTCAAGGAAAGTGGATCGTCACTAATCAAACTCCCTTACAGCAGCCGATACGGCATGTACAACCAAATCAGCTGCAGCCGCTGCCAAATCAATTGCAGTTACAACAAATTCCTTTGCAGCCGCAAATGCACCAGCAGATTATGCAAGACCAGCAACACAGCGAATTTCCTGCCATAGTAGATCAATCACAGTTACATTTAAAGCTTCCGGAACAACATCTGGTAAAACCTTTGGAAATTGAGAATTTGGAATCTTTAAATTCAAATTGGTACGTATGTTTGTCCATTTTCCTTTCATAGCAACAATGCAGAAGAAAAAAGAACGCTGCGCATATGTCAAGCGCTCTATAATTTGCCCTTATTGAGTTCACTTCATCGTTTCAGTATACGTCGCACTAGTTCCGATTGCCAGTTAATTACGTCCGAGAATGAGAATTCCAGTCACGATGTGACGCCTGAGCACACTGTCGTTGAATCCATCGATTCTACATCGATTCTGCAACAACAGTTGTCGCAATCACAGCAGCAGCAGCAGCAGCAGCAGCAGCAGCAGCAACAACACCGCAAGCTCAGTCAACAGAATTCGTTGGACAAAGTGTCGGATGTAAACAGTGTCGGGAATATTGGAGGTGGTGCAGGGCCGCAAACTATAGCTGACTTACATCAGAAACTTGTACAATTGACTAGTCAGCCGTCGGAATCGCTGAACGTCGGTACACCACCTATAAGCTATCCAGCCACGCCTCATAACAATCAGATGGTTGGAGGATACGACGCGTACATGCACACTTTGCAACAGAAACTGTATAATATTGGCGTGCCAGTTTCGTCCGCGAATGCCGCATGTCCGCTATCTCCTCAAACAACGATACATTCCTCCGCTAATCTCACCGATGCGCAAGCCGACGCGACTATCGAGGGTTCCGCTATGATGCAAGACAGTTCTGGTGCATTTGCACTTTCGCAAACCGTAGGTTTCTTTTTTTTTTTAACGGCGTATTACACTTGACGATGCGCGCAATCGGTGATTCTCGTTGTCCCGGAAGTATCCGCATGTTTCTTTCCAGAATGTGGAATGTTCCCTCGACAGTCCAACACCGGGAGCTCCCGCAGGGTCCGAAAATATGAGCCCGAGCAAAGAGAATGTAAAGATACGAGCTCAAAGACCTGGCTCCCGTTTACAGGAACTGGAGCAGGAATTGGCCAAGATTCATCACAGAGGATCGGTTTTCGCGGCAGCTCCGATTCAGCCATTGACACCGCCAATATCCGTACAAGCGCAACAGTCTGTGCAAAATTTGTTGACGACCGCCCAGCCAGTGTCCATGATACCTGTGGCTACTGTCACTCCTAATATCGTGACACCGCGGTCTGATACCAATACCCCAATCCAGGCAGAACTCCAAGACACTACTAATGAGGTAATGTCTACTTTTCGCAATATTTCGCGTTTGGCGTCGTACTTTTTGCCTTCCAAATATAGCAAAGCTATGGCGGAATGGTTTTACAATACAATTGCTTTTGTAAATAATGTCGGAACATTAATTTCACGTTGATATAGAAGGCGAATCCTACTCAACCTACTAGAAAAATATCAAGATTTGTGGTTTCTAAAGTTGCGGGTCCGCCTATTCATAGCAATGCTTCTATTCAACAGCCGGTTGCTGATGCTGCAAGGTCTCAATTACAGCAAACGGAAGAATTAAAACTTTTAGAACGGCAAATTCTTTCTCATTATACAGATGATCTGCATGGTAAGAGATTTTGTTTAAACGATAAAAATTCAGTAAAAATTTTGTAATGTTTGTAATGACAAACACAAGGACGTCTGTATATGCAGTGACATATATTTATAAATTATAGGTGTATCTGCACAAATACCTCATAGTCGAGAGAATTCTGTTCCGCCAATTTTACAGGCAACTCATGGTACTAATATTCCAAATATCGAAGTGAGTTTTGTAGCTTCATTATTATTGTCAAATAGAAATATAAAAATTATGAAATTAATTATCTTAATGAAACGCAATCTAATAATAATAATGAAAATACAATCAGATAATAGTAATGTGTTATTTGACATTACAGCCTGAAAAAGAAGAGAGATTTGTGGCTCTTACACCGAGTGAAGAATACCAATTACTCATAAAGAGGTAAAAATATTTGTTACATTTCAAGAGTGCAAATTAAACTTTTTATCTAACAGAAAAATGTGTCATTTACCACAAAAATGTATCAAAAGGTGGAAAGATAAATTGCAGAGATTAATTCACGATTGTCGATTTGTTTTAAGAATGTAAAGAACATTTGTATTATGTACAGACAAACTTTGGAACTAGAGACGTTACAAAGAAGACATAGGGAAGAGTTGGAACGTTTCCAGCAGCACCAACTACAATTGCTTATTCAGCAACAAGCAAGCGCCCTTCATCATCAGCATCATCCGTTGCTTTATCATACGGTTGCAGCAAATATCTCCGGTTAGTAATACAAGTCAATTTCATTCCGTTATACATACATATGTATTCTTTTTGTACAATGCATATTAATTGATGTCATTTTATCGCTTGACAGGACCTAGAATTCCAGGAACAGAGGACTATCTGATGTTTGGTACCGCGCCGCAGACTCCACTGCAGAAAGGACCGAACAACTATCCGGACACGGATGAGACTTTACGGCTGGCCATGCAGAAATTGAAGCAGACTCCGCTGCAGCTTCAACCGCAGCAGGCATCGGCTGGAATACCGCATGCTTATGTTATCCCAATTCCAGTAGTGCCTTCTGAAAATATGCAAAGTGTAGTTTCTCAGCAAAGTAATAACTGCTCGAATGATATATCCGAGAGCATCGATACGACGCACAGCACGGCGGTTGGAAACCCGACGCAGTACCAATTCTCTCCTATATTATCGGAGGGAACGAATATCCCGTCGACAACCGGACCGTTACCCGCGCCCGTGCCCTTATCGATATCCGGCGCGACGAGCGCCTACATCCAGTACGAGGGCCAGCCGCTATCGAATTTTCAGACTTTCAGCTGCACACCCCACGGCGGTTTCTTTTTGCCAGCTGGCTACCGGCTGATATACACGCCGCCCACGACTCAATCTCAGCCGGCGACACCTGCCACGTCTCACGTGGCAAGTTGTTCGCGTGACGATACGCCTCCGACGGCGGAGCCGCACCACTCGACCACCGCCGAAAACTCAACGGTTCCTCCTTCGCATTCGGATCAATAACGCAACATTCGGCTCACACGCTTCTATATTTTTCGGTCGATCTGCGTTCGTTCTTAGTTTAACGCTCGGTACTGTTTATAGTGCAGAAGTTTCGCATCGTTATCGTACGAATGTAACCCGAATATATAATTTGCTGTGAAATGCGCGTGCCCGCGCTAGACATCATAAAGATGCGGAGACGGATCGAAGCAAAAAAATGAGTGACAAAACAGTGGAACTATATGTAATGTTTTTCGATGTACGACGCACTTGCGTATATTAAACAAGATATCAAATATTCTCGCTATCTGAGCGTGTGCATGATATTATTATGATATGTGCCTCGCAGCGGAAGTTAAGCGGAAATAATATGGGAAGATACTGTGAAGAAGCGATATATATATATAATATATAATATATATATATATATATAAATTTTCCGAATGCAACGCAGGAACTTGAGATAGAGGCCTTTACATGTACTGTGCTTCGATGCGTTAAAAAGTAAAAGAAAAAGAAGAAAAATGAAAACTCTTCCTTCGCTGAGACCTCTAAGGGATTCTACTATTGCCCGACTCCTTTAGTAGCACAGCTCACATTAGTACAGGCCTCCGCTAGTCTTACGATCGAAATGGCACATGGCCATTCTGCTCGGTATATGTGTATAACTGTTACTGTATGCTGGATGTGTCAGGAACAAGAGACCGAATGAGAAAGAGTGATAGGGACAAAGGGGCAAAGGGCAAATAGAAGTGGGAGAAGAGAAAGAGAGAATGTGAAAAAGACGAGAGAAAGGGAGTGTATGTATAGCTTTATGCGAGTATGTATGCGTGAACGCGTATGTATGCGTATAATTGTGCGGGTATGCGTGTGTTGGAGGTGAGAGAAAAAAAAATAGGCAGAGAGAAATATGATTAATATAGTCACTGTTATGCTTTAATGTATTTCTAGCGATTTTGCCTATTTCAATTAAAGAAAAAAAAGTCATGTGTTACTAGTTAGCAAACCTATATATCTCGTTTACAATATATTGATGATTATTATATCTTCTTTTAAAGCTGGTAGTAGCCGTTTTATCTACCGTTGTTTATTTTGATATATATATGATGTAACTGAGATAAATTGCCCGATGCCATCTGTAGACCATTGACAAGTGCGTGTTGACAGTCCGACTATTACCTTTTTAATCGATTCTAAGTGATGTACTACTGTCAACATACATACTGTCAACAACGTATTAAAAATTTCCTTTTTAGTTCTTGGTAATCTCTGTGACGTGTCATTTCAAGTAGCGAAACGTTCAGTTTTACTTTTAATTACAATGCGATGACTGCTGAATATATTATACGCCTTATCAACAGCTATCGCTATCGTTGCCTTTTTAAATCGGATTTTATGGATTTTTAGTTTGCATTAATATTTGCCGATACCGAGAATTGTTTGTACAATTGTCGCATGATCGGCCGACGGTACTGCAACCGCCATTAAGAGGAAAATATTTTTAATTATTCGTCCTGACGGGTGACTCTCGTGGCTACCCTAAACTTGGTGATTTTTGTGCTGAGATTAAACCTTTTAAGCATAAGACTTCTTTTTCGTGCTTTTATGTCACACAATATTACATTAAAATCTGTTGAAATGTTCCCGTAAGAATTGCAATAGTTTATTATACATATTATATGGAGACTTGAGATTAAATTATTTCTTTATACGATTATTATCCGAGAAGACAAATATACAGGCGCCCTATCTGTTCATCATTATTGAATACAGTGTACGAGTTTAGTAGACATTAATTTTAATCAAGTCCGCTTAAATTACAGTGAAATTTCATTTGTGAACGGCTACCTTCTCTCTGTTTAAATATCAATGGTGAATTACGTCTAGCAAATCGTAATTTGATACGAGAAATGGCTGTATGTTATGTCAAGTCCTGTCGACATCTAAGAAATGGACAGAAGCAAGTAGTTGATAAACGAAGAAACTTTATTTGTAAGGAACGGCAAATTTCGGGGGTATCCTTAGTGGCGGAAATGTCAAATCATCTGGCCATCTCTCGTCCTTTCACATGTTCTTCTCATCCGAGCTTCTTTTCTCAAAATAGGACGTCTTGTTCACCGGCTACTTCTTCGGCAGCCAATGTGATTCGTTTCCCAGTCCACGGCTTGAATTTCCTAGAAGACCGAGCGTCCACCGGGCCTTCCTCCGGCAGTCAACGTGGCTTTCGCATTGCATTAATAATTATTCTACTTACTGGGAATAACACACCATTTTATTAAATGTATAATATTAAGAGTTTACTTCCAGAATTGTATTGCAACGAAAGAATATGTAAGATTTCAAGCGAAGGGTATGATAGTTGAGCGATTCCACAAACGCGGAGAAGCAAATGATGAACGATACACTCTTGAATAATCGTGATTTAATATGCATTAAAATAATTGGGAAATACAATTCGACTACGGTCTACTTGATGCTGCAAGTACTTGAAAGAATTCTTCTCTTTCTTCGTTAGAAGGAAGAGGAGTGCTTCGAAGCATCTGTAGCCTCGAGCGAACCGCAGCCTATACAGAGTATCGATGTTTCGTTCGAAGTGTTGTCTATTTTGCCAGTGGATTTGTTTCAAGATATCCCACAAGATAGAAGCATTAATAAATCAATTCCAGTTCTCAAAGCGGTTATTAATCCCACGAAAGACAAAGACTTCAATAATATATCGCTGTACCTCGTACAACATTGTAAAACAGGCTGAAACTTTACTAACGACCTTATCAAGACGTTAAATGTAAAAATTACTACAGTAAGACCTACAACAAAGAGAAATAAATAAACGTACGACACAAACCGCTGATCTTCTTTCATCATGCGCAACATCATCGAACTTGTCCATATCGGAATAATAGAGGTGTCATTTGTCACTCATTTTTTATTACATAACAGATATATTAGGTGTTATATACAAATATATCGATATATTTCACGATTATATTTCATTATATTTCACGAATATTGTCTAATCTTTAAAAAAAAACAAAACTGTCCTTTGTACATACAGGAAACCTCAAGCTGCGCCTTTTAGCCGTCATCTTCCTCGATAGGTCAGATTTCTCTTGTGCTGTAAATATAATAAGATAGTGTTATTGTCCGTAACAAAGCGTGTTTAAATGTCATCTTACAAATACGCACCTATATCTTGCATAGACGAATAAGAGAATTACGTTACTGATATTAATTATAACAAATTCATACTAGTAGCAAACGTATGAAGACCCAGCGAGAATTTTTCACTGGGCACGGGCCAAACAATTACGGATTAATATTCCAAAAACTATGAAATAAAAATCAACAGACGACGATTCTCTCGTTACAAGGAGCACTTTAACGTCCCGACTGAATGTTGAAAAGCATTCTGGAGTGGACAGAGGGATATGACAAAAACTCGTGTCCTCGGCGTGTAACTTACTATCGGATACGTTTAAAAAGACTGAAAAGCCCCTCACAGGGATTCGAAGTGGCCTCTTCTCCTCGCGTAGGCCCCCATGCAGGCGAAGAACCCGACGATCGCAATGGTCAGGCCTAGGATCAAGGCCAGGGTGTCGCCGAAGTCGAAGCTGTCGGAGGCCATTGCCACATCGAGGATGCCGGAAGCGACGAGTAAATAATAGGCCCACATGTTTTTGCATGCGAGCGGAAGGACGGCAAGACGTGGTTATTAGCTGCAAGAACGACGGCTCTCGCGCTTGTCCGTGGTCTCTGTGTGTCGCGCGCGACTGTAATTCAACAATTGCGATGTCTCGTCTCACATCGTCGTCGTGCGCGTCGAAGCCGCACGTCGACTCGCGCTCGTCGCTGATAAACACCGATGACAATTACGTCAAGTTACTTGGTAAACAGAAAAATGGTGGCGCGAAGGTTAGCTACGGGCGGCGACATTGCGTCAATTCTATCTTCGTCCACGTGTCGAACGAAGACAGATGCTCCGAACACACCTGTTGCCGCATGCGCGCGGCAGCAGCCAATCAGCGCGGGTCGACGCGATGAAGAAGCTTCGTGTCGCTGCGCGCTGTGTGGCGCGCAAATCTCGCCGTTGGCTCGATTTGATTGGACGCCCCATGTTGTGGTGCATAACATGCCATAAACAAAAGAAGAAGGAGCCATTGGAACGATGCATTCGGAAATGCAAATGGCTGCTGATCGATGAAGGCAGATGAAGGCATCTCGTGTTACCTCGCCACGCGACTTGAGTCGATTTGAGAGTTTCATTGCGCTGTGCGATTCCCGTCAAAGGTACGATTAAAAAAAACAGCAATTTCTCGAAAGCTTGCGTAACTCGTGTGATGTTCACTAGTTGAGAGGCGTAAAAGGATAACCTCCCAAAAATTGGGCGAGTCCACGACCGGACTCCTCCGAGGGTGAACGCGGTCGCGGTTAGCAATGGCGATCTCGTCGGCGAACGTGACCGTGTCGAGCATCCTGAAGAACAAGAGCTCGTTCGACGACGAGCCGCGGAAGAAGAGTCGGGAGGACTGGCGGAAGGCGAAGGAGCTCGAGGAGGCGAGGAAGGCTGGCACGGCGCCCGCGGCCGTCGACGAGGAGGGTAAGGACATCAATCCGCACATCCCGCAGTACATCAGCGCGACGCTATGGTACTTCGGCTCTCAGGGGCCCACCCTGAAGCACCAGAGGCCGCAGCCCGAGAAGCAGAGGCAGTTCAGTTCGATCGACGCGTGGTACAATCGCGGGGTGGACGCCTCGCTGGCGATCGTCAAATATCGCAAGGGCGCCTGCGAGAATTGCGGCGCGATTACACACCGTAGGAAGGACTGCATGGAGAGGCCGCGCAAGGTCGGCGCCAAGTACACCAACGTGAGGATAGCGCCGGACGAGTTCACCCAGCCGGAGCTGTCCATGGATTACGACGGCAAGAGGGACAGGTGGGCCGGTTACGACCCCTCCGAGCATCGGTCGATCGTGGAGGAGTATCAGAAAATAGAGGAGGCCAAGCGGCAGATGCGCGCCGAGAAGCTCGACGCGGAGGAGGAGAACGACGAGCAGGACTCGGACAAGGACGAGGACAAGTATGTCGACGAGGTGGATATGCCTGGCACGAAGGTCGATTCCAAGCAGCGCATCACCGTGAGGAATCTCCGGATTCGGGAGGACACCGCCAAGTATCTGCGCAATCTCGATCCAAACTCGGCGTACTACGATCCGAAGACCAGGTCCATGCGCGACAATCCTTACGCCGGTACGGATCGCGAGGTGGACTTCAAGGGGGAGAACTCTGCGCGCTTCTCGGGGGACACGCAGCAGCACGCCAATGCGCAGCTGTTCGCCTGGGACGCGCACGAGAAGGGCGTCGACGTGCACTTGTTGGCTGAGCCTACTAAGCTCGAGCTGCTGAAGCAGGAGTACGATAAGAAACGCGACGAGTTGAAGGACAAGGCGCGCGACAGCGTCATCGAGCGTTACGGAGGTGAGGAGCATCTTAAGGCGCCATCCAAGTCTCTACTGCTGGCGCAGACCGAGCATTACGTGGAGTATTCGAGGTACGGCAAGATAATCAAGGGTCAGGACAGACAGGTGATACGGTCCAAGTACGAGGAGGACGTTTATCCCAACAATCACACGTCGATCTGGGGTTCCTACTGGCAGGATGGGAAATGGGGTTACAAGTGCTGTTACTCCTTTATTAAAAACTCGTACTGCACCGGAGAGTCGGGAAAGAGAGCGGCGGAGGCAGCGAGCAACAGTACGCCAGACAAGATCCCATCAGAACCGGAAGAAACGGCCGACAAGCCGGACACAGTGGAGGACAATTGTTCGTCTAGCAGCGAATCCCCGTCCGAGGACGAAGACGTAAGAAATAGGACGGAGAGGCAGAGCAAGTCGGCTAAGCGGAAATTGAAGAAACAGAAGCGGAAGGAGAATCGCAGGAATAAAAAGCGGAATAACGCGGAGCAAGACGAGGACAAGCTGAAGGAGGCGCTGAGGAAGGAGGAGGAAAGTACGAGGCGAGCGGACAGGATGTTGGAGATAGACGAGAGGAAGCGCCCGTACAACAGCATGTACGAGGCCAAGGAATTGTCAGCCGAGGAGATAGAGGCGTATCAAATGAAGCGCAAACGCGACGAGGACCCGATGGCCCAGTTTCTTTAAAGACAACGCTACCAAGTTTCTCTTGCAATGTAAAACTAACTCGATGTACATATGTTTTGTATAAAGCCTGCAATATTAATTTGTATTATTCTATGAAGAGAGTAAAATATAATAGTTTTGTTAAAATGATGCAATTATTCATTCGATCAGTTAAACTAATGTTAAGATGATTCCTCGGCCATCTTTTTTTACTTTTTCCCTTCGTGTCCGAGACCATTTAGAGATTCACTGATAACGCAGATAGAGGAATGATTCTGAAGTCACATGGTGCTCTGACCTCCTAAGCTTTATTCGGTCTAAACGAGGTAACTGATTGTTATTGTTGAACCAATCTTTATCATAAGTTTTACTGTATTCTCATCCTGTACTTTCGTTGATCTGTAGTTTTACTGAGGAAGACCCGAAGAAGGGTCGAGGACGTTTATACTATTAAAGAGAAATTTTGTTTCTGTATTGTGAGAACCGAGTTCCGTTAATTTTGTAGCTCACACTGGCACTCTCTCCTTTCTACATATTTTCTTTTTGGGAGCCTTCACAACGCTTTGGAACAGTCAAATATAGTCTATGCTTGTCTAATATCTTTTTTTTTTATTAGGCTTCTCAACTGACAACGAGTGTTTTAAGTATGAAAATGTCTTGCTATGCGGTCCACAATTTATCCTGGTATTATTTCGTGCACGAAAGCCAATGAAAAGAATTACGAACGCAAAAGCTGTGTGAGACAAACAACGAATTAAATTAAGCTTAGGCCCGGTTTCACCAAACGTCGCTTAACTCTAATCTTGGTTTAATAATCTGTGGTTTAATTCACGTTTGTCTCTTTCTAAAGTAACAGTTGGTAAGCTATGCTTGAAGTTACGCAACGTGGGTGAAACCGGGCCTCAATCTAACCGATTAATACGGTCATAGCTGAAGTCGCCGAGGAGAGCTCGAATTCGTATTTTCGCGCCTGGGGGAGGGTCGCAGGCCCGCCGGCCAGAGGGCGCTGCACGCGCTGGCATTCGAAATATGCGGTAGTTTGGCCACTCCGGGTAGAATCGACGACCCCCGGGGGAGGGAGAAGAGCGCTAGACTGCCATATTAGAAGCAGACCGTGACTTTAGACATCAAATGTCTTCTTTCCCGCAGGCTTTATTCCCACGATTTCGCGATATTATGTTCCGCCGAGTTGTATCTTCGTGCCGATGATAAGCGTGCGGCCCGCAGGCGTTCTGTGCCCGGCGTGTCGGTCTGTGCGTCCCGCGCGTCCGTCGTACGTTCCACCTAATTCCGGAGCCCCCCGCCGAAAATGAGATACCTTTCTTAATTTAACTAACCGCGTGTGGGTTAATTGCGCTGCCAGTGTGCCCGCGTAGCGCGACGAGAGGAAGAGGCGGCCAGAAGTGGGAAAAGGAGCATGTTTTTTCGCCCGGAGCTTGCGAGGCTGGCGACGATTTGACTCGGAGGATGACATAAATCTGTGCTGTGCGTTATTTCTGTATAAAGGTGGAAGAGGGAAAACAAAGAGAGAGAGAGAGACAGAGAGAAAGAGACGGGGAGGAGAGAGGAAGAGAGAGAGAGAGAGAGAAAGGAAGAGATGTGTCGGCGGATAAATTACTACAATTTGCTTAATAGCTAATAGACTCAAAATTACTGGTATGCTTTTACGATTCGCTCACCATGTTCGTATATGCGACGATACTGCCTCTCATCTTCCTGGAATTATTAGGTAACGTATATATAGCGATATATTCCATTCAAATTTGCGCTTTTCTTTTCCGAGCTTCGGAAGATTTAAAGGATTATGGAATTTTTTCAGAGAGGAAGAGAGAGAGAGGGGGGGGGGAGGAATTTTTGAATAATTTTGACCAAACTCCGTTTAACTTTGTCGCTTAAGTTGATTTAGTCGACAGCTTGTCGCAACGTTTTTGTCCTCGCTGTGATTGGTTATACCCTGATCTAAGCTTTCTCTCCCTTTAATTGAACGACGAAAGGTCACTTATCCTATTCGTATCAACAAAATGACAGCGAGTGTCGCTCGACAAGTTAGAGACTTCCGATCGAGTTGAACTTGGTCAAAGTTATTTCTATTTTTACTGTCGCCGTGTTGCGTTCAAGATAATGCGGCGGCTCCCCGTTAAAACCAATTCCAATTCGAATGAAGCTGGAATCGCGACGGTCCCACGCCTTCGCGTCAGATTAAAAAACGACCGCGCGCCGTTGACTCTCCGTTGTAAACTTGACTTTCATTCTTCGAGTCTATCCGTGAATTCGAAACTTGTCCAAGTATAATTTGTCCCCGCGTTCAGTCTTATCGCTGTTTTTTTGCTTTGTAAATTGTAGACCGATGAATAATAGAATACAGTTTGCAAACAATTACGGGGTGGTAGTTTGAGGTTTTTCTTTTTCTGACTATGCTCAGCTAAACAGTGAGTCTAGTCCAAGTCCTATGTGCTAAACTTTGCGTAAGTTTGGTATATAGGCTAATCGTAGCAGCAGCTATAGCAGTTTTCTATGTCTGTATCTTACAAGCGTTGAGTTGTGGAGTGTTTTCGTATGCAAAGACAAGCTCCTTGTCTACTTTTTGACAGAGAAAATGCCATAGCGTGACGTGTCTCAATTAGAAACTTTATTATAGATTTATATACGTGACAGCCATTAAAAATTGCCTCGTTAAAACAAGCTGTTGGATGAAAGCAACAGCTGCTGTGCTCTAGAGATAAAAATAAGACAGTTGATAGTTTAATTTATTAAATATTTATGTTAACCGCAAAGATTATAGAATTTTGATCCATTATTTTAGGAACTATATCTGCGAAAGACATTAAAGGCTCAGCCTTTTGCGAATTTTACAATGACACTATGTGTGCGGAGAACGAACAGGAGTGTTCAGGAAGGGAAGAATGTGTCCTGCACGATACGGACAAACGCAATCACTGTTATGTGCTATGGTCAATCAACAGTACTACTAAAGAAACGATAATTAAATTAAAGGTTGGTTATGTATATGTGACTATTTGTTATGTAAAATTCGCCATACAAGTCTATTACGTGTAACAAGTATTTAAAATGGAGTAGATTTCTAAAGAGAAGCAGGGTTAAAGTTAAGATACATATTAAAAGTTAAGCCAACGGCAACACAATACTATTTTTCCTACTGGACTGTTTACGAGAGCCAATCGGATTTAGCTTCAAGTCACAAATTTAGCTTCAAATTATCTGATCTAAAACTCTGTATCCTTATCGGTTCTGATAAGCAATTCAGTAGGAAAAATAGTATCATGTGCCGTTGGCTTTACATAGAAGGGTGCGTCGAAAGTTTTGTATTTATTCTTACATTATTTTGTCATACCAAGCATTCTTGCCAATGAATCTTGGATAGAATTTCCTAGGTTGCAATAGATTTTTCTAGATCGTTTCATATTGCTCTTCTTTCCCGAGAAATTGATAATTGTAGACGTATTATTCTTGTTGTATACAATTATTCGATCTCATTTCATATCTTGTTTTCAGGGTTGCTTTTTAGATAACAATGACTGTTATGGCAAGCCACTTTGTGTGGAGAATAGCATGGAGAGAAAAAGTGAACTCTTATTTTGCTGTTGCGAAGGCAATATGTGTAACCAAAACTTTTCTTGGGTCCCACAACCAACCACTAAGCCTACAGAACCATCTGTCATTCACGGTACGTTATTTAATCATACTGTGCGGCGTTGATTTTTTTTACCTGAAAATAAATTCGCAACATACTTGTCATAATAGTTAAATAATTACCCTTTCAGAACTTGAGCCTGTGCCCAATGCAAAGCAGCAAGCAATAACACTCGCCCTATTAATAGCAATGCCTATGCTTCTTACGATAAGCTCCGTTTCTTTTTGGTGGCTCTACCGTCGCCGAAAAGTGGGCTATTTTAACGAGGTTGTATTTCGAGATTGTTACCAGATTGTAAAGCGTACTATCTAATTTATGAAATTGATGCAAATCTTTCAGGTACCGACGCTGGAACCTGTGCCATTACCACAACCCTCACCTAATCTAGGCTTACGACCGATACAACTTCTTGAGATTAAAGCTCGAGGTCGTTTCGGAGCAGTTTGGAAGGCCCAATTAAAAAATGAAGTCGTGGCAGTTAAAGTTTTTCCCATTCAAGACAAGCAATCCTGGCAGACTGAACAAGAGATCTTTAAGCTTGCACATATGGATCACGAGGACATATTGCACTTTATAGGTGTTGAAAAGCGTGGGGATAATTTACAAGCTGAATTTTGGTTAATTACAGCGTATCATGAAAAGGGTTCACTATGCGATTACCTAAAAGCAAATATTGTGACATGGTCTGAAATGTGTAGAATTGCAGAGTCCATGGCAAGGTAACAATTATAGCAGCGATAACAATTTCTTAGGAGCGAAACAAGATTACATATAAATTAAATAGAGCAATATTTCTACCGAGTTATATTAGTTTTCATTCGGTGCTTAGTAAAAGGGTTGTTGTTATTGCAGAGGTTTAATGCATCTACATGAAGAAATTCCGGCTAACAAGGCAGACGGTTATAAACCAGCTGTAGCTCATAGAGATTTTAAGTCAAAAAATGTTTTATTGAAGGCTGACATGAGTGCCTGTATAGCAGATTTCGGCTTGGCACTTATTTTTCATCCGGGAAAACCTTGCGGCGATACACACGGACAGGTGAGGCATATACATACATATGTAGTCACAATTTTTCGTTCATGATGTGAAAATTGCTATTGATAATTTCTTATTTATAGGTTGGAACGCGACGATACATGGCACCAGAAGTTTTAGAAGGAGCAATAAATTTTACTAGAGATTCATTTTTACGAATTGACATGTATGCCTGTGGGTTAGTTCTATGGGAATTAGCTTCAAGATGTACTGTACAAAGTGTACGTAATATACATATATTGCGTGTAATATATCTTGCAGAGAACATGCATGCTAAGCTACGAGCTCTCGAGACCAGAGAGCTGTAAATATGGCCTGGATATGTGGATATCGAGAAAAACGATTAACTGGATATCCGATATCCGATTTAATGGGTTACTCGATCTGGCGTCGATATTATCCAGATAATTCGTATCTTAATATTTCAAAAATTAAATTTATCCAAATTTGTTAAATCCGAAATATCTGAATTAACAAGAAATTATGTTACAAGAAATTGAACGAAAACTGAAATACCAAAATTTACTTTGAAGAATAATAATACAAACGCGAATTATGCATGAAATAAACACTGGGTATTATTTTCATATACTTAATGTATGTGTAATGTATAATCACGCATAGTGGAAATAATCATGTACTAGAAGTAAAACTCTTGTATATTAATCTCATGTCGAAAGTTGCTAATTGCTTTTATTTCAATATTAGGGACCAATAGGAGAATATCGACTACCTTTTGAGGACCAAGTCGGTCTCCATCCTACTCTAGAAGACATGCAAGAGAGCGTTGTCCATAAAAAAGAGAGGCCGACAATTTTAGACACTTGGCGCAAACATTCAGTAAGTGAAAAAGCATAGAAATGTCATAGAAATAAAAACTACTAATAGTGTAAAGTTTTTCTTTTTTATACTCTTATAAAAAACAATGTTTTTATCTAAAAAGGATGAAGTAAAAATATGCCGCTTTTTAATTTCTATAATTGAAATGTGCTATTTTCAGGGACTATCATCAATTTGTGATACAATGGAAGAATGTTGGGATCACGATGCCGAAGCACGCCTCTCTGCCTCGTGCGTAGTGGAACGAGTTGCTACCCTTGGTAGAGCTCTTGTATTAAATTCATCTACTTTGATTCGTGTTGATAATACCAACGAGATTATTACTACCAAGGAATCTAGTATGTAGTTAGTGTCTATTGATATAGTTTATTTTAATGGCACAACCAATTTTTGTACCATAATTTTGTTATACGTATCAATGAGGAATGTTGAAACAATAGAGGAAAGACAAGCATAATATATCTCCGATTTTATGTTTTACTATTTAACTTAATATTAATTTCTCCTCTATATAATATATATACAAGTGACGGTTAGCTACATCACGACGTTGAGTGTCCTAATAAAAGTATGTCAACTATCCATTTTATCTTCCTCAGTGCCTTTTTGTGCATTGGAGACAGATTCGTTAATGATAAAAAAAGTTTCTGAAATTGAAGACTTTAATTTTTAGAAAATGTTTTACAAAATATGAAATAAAATAATACGGGCAAAATTTTACGAGTAATTGCAAGGTGTACAAGAAGAATTAGGTACGATAAATAGGTGAATTGTAATTATCTATCTGCCAAATTATATCACAACATCACATTTCTCGTGCACGTAGATCTCTCTGTTTTAAAAATGTACATAAAAAGAGCGATGTATCTCAATTTTTATCAATCCTTGCAATAATTTGCAAATGTCATGCAAGAATGTAAGGCGACATTGCTTCCATTTAGATAAGAATTCGTGGATTACATGTTTAGAACATTTTACGAAGATTTGATATTGGATCGTTCGCAGACGAACTCTAGAGTAATCGTGTAGAAAATCAGCGTCGAGCCTGCGACTACCCATACAGTAAGATAAAAAAAAACGGATTTGCAGGATTTCTTCAACATAACTTACCGAGAAATCATATTGAGAGCAAGCGAGAGGGAGAAAAGGGGAGGAAAGGAGATATATCTGGAACATTGTTTTCAAATATATAATACAATATAACCACACTGCCATATGTATATATATATATTCTAGCCGTGTACATATATTTTTAACTATAGCGCCTAAAGTACCGTTAGACTGTGTGCTCTGTGGGTTACCTTTATAATTTTTACATACTTTTTATTGAGATTTTCTGAATGTTAGAGCACCTCAGAGATATGCTTATTATAATGAGACTAGAAATATCTTAAGAAAATTGCAATATGTTTGGGATATCCAGGATGATTTCAATATATCTCGCAGATTTCCATTGCTGTATGGGTAGATGGCTTCATCCAAATCTAGGTATGGATTTCTATACGAGAAAGCAAATCCTTTTCACGATAATCTGATTAGATATTATTCGATTAAAAGTTTAATAAGCCCTTTAATAAATATCGCTGTTTCCACTCGTCAAATATATATCATGGAAAATATGAATCTAATTTTTTCCATGGCAAGCAACAGTGTATGGAAATTGTTCCATTACTCGAGAAAACACAAGTAAAAATTCATAATCATTTAATATATAAAAATTTCTTATTATTTTTTTTTGCTTTGTTTCTCTTATTTAGGAACAACATGATATTTATTAAATTGAAATTAAAATTGTAAACAGGTTTCCTGCAAAAATCTATTCGCAAATACGTGGCACTATAAGATTTTAGGGCGACTCCGACCAAAGTTTGATTAGTTTAACCGATGATTAGTTTGTCAGGAAATATCTATAATATTTTATTAACATAGATAGAATTATTAATTTTTTATTTAACACATGAAAGGGGAATTTAGAAACGAATTGTAATTCTATGTATGGTTGAAAATTTTACTGTGGGTAATTGTGCCGGTCGAATTAATCACCGATTATGTCAAATGGAATTTGTTGAAAGCCCTTATTATGGTAACCGACTACTATATTTCGTTCTTTTTGTAATTTTCAAAGCAACACTCAAATGTTTGGAGCTACATATTGAGACGTTTTCTTTTCAATTACAAAAATTATTTGACATTTTATCAGTGAAATAATTAAAAAAAAAGGAAACTTTTCTCACACTTCGACAACTTGCTTGACACTGTTGGACATTAAATAAATGCGTAACAAGTTAGAAAAAAGACGGCGGTACGCTGTAAAAGAAATACGTAAAATTACGTGAACAGTAAGTGTAGAATTTATATGATTTGAAAATGTATACATATAATGTATAATTTCACATGTTTATTTCTTATTTGTTCATGTAATTTTACATACTTTTCTTTTACAGAGAGTAAAGATGGCTTGGACCGACTTTATGCTCACTTTGGACCGCTCTTATTCTTCGGAATAAAGGGTGTATTGATATTATTTGTGTATTGATATATTTTGAGATTGATTTTTTTACTTTGTATCAGGC